AGATAGAAATCGACGACTTCAAGCAGATTACAGTGATGTAACTCAACCTCCGTTAGGAAAACAGGAACCTGTCGTACTGACATCAAAGTCATCTGGGGTTACTCAAGAACAATTACAAGAGTTACTTAAGTCTCAAGCTGATGAACTTACCAAGAATTTTCAGGTGCAATTTAAACAATTACAGGCTCGGCCAGTTCGTAATCCACCAGTCTATAGACAGCAGATTAAACCTGTTCGACTAAAACCACAGAGACGTGTTGTTCAGGATTTTCAGGATCCTGATTGGGATGATGGTTATGTAGATCATGATGTTGGTGATGATCCTGATGCTCCTGAGTGGACTTTGGATGATCATCAAAATGCTATTGATCTTATTATGGGATATAAACTTGGGACGTCTAAAATACTTACAAAATAACTTCAGAAGGCTAAAGATAGACGTGATGATCTGGATTTGGCCCGAGCAATGAGAAACCTCGATCTTAATGATGATGCTATGGACATTGATACTGTGAGTTTTGGTGAAAAGGTAGAATTGAGAGAAAAAGTTGGTGATGTCTATATGGTTCGTGTTGGGTCAAAAAAAAAGTAGGTTTGAGTATCTCAAAACTTCTTAAGTCGTCCCCAAATAAGACAGCAGTTAGCTCTTCTAGTGTGCCATTGAAAGGTAAAGCAACCCCTGTTAAGATTCCTGTGAAAGTTACTGGTAGTAAGTATATACCTGCAAAAGCTGTTACTAAGAATGACTTATTAAGCCTGTTAAGGTCTGCAGACTTTAGGAAATTACTCCGTGAGATTCTTCAGGAGGAGTTATTGTCTGCTAGAAAAGTCACAGAGATTCCGGAGGACCTAGTTGAGGAGGAACAAGAAGAGGATATCAGGGTAGACGATCCTATGGATATTGACATAGCTCGTTTAGAGAATACTAAAGATCTTTTAGCACTGGATGGGGAGGTTAATGGAATAGCAATTCAGTGTTTAGCAGACACTTGTGCTAATGCGTCTTTTATTCAGAGAGAAGCTGCTGAGGAATTAGGGTTGGATATCGACAAGAGTATTACATACAACGGGATCCGTACAAAATCCCGAATGTCAAAATCCCGAATGGTACGAAATCCCGAAATATTGGCCAACATTAAGCATAATGCTGCCCGGTTTGGGATTTTCAGGATTTTGACATTCGGGATTTTGTACCAGACCCCATACAACATATCTGGTGCTTCAGGAACAGGTAGGACATTCGGCATGGTAAAGGGAGTGTCAATCAAACTTACCCCTGATTATGCTATCACTGAGGATCTTGCAGTTTTAGATGGATACAAGCATAGGGAGGTTGGGTTAAGCCGAACGTGTCTGAAACGTTATAATTATGATGTCCATGAATCACGTGAACATATAGCCTTTACCTGTGACGGGAAGAATGTTTTTATCCCGATAGTTCCTGATGCTAATCGAGGTGATAAAAAATAAGACCCTTTAATTCTTCTATTTTTTTTATTCCCAAAATTTGCGAATTAAGTCAGGGACATCCTCCTTCAACCGGTCAGCAGGTTCCCAAGTAGCCTCAGTGTCTGGATAGCACTCCCACTTAACCAAATACTGGTCTTGACCTTTTCTAATGCGATGCCGAAGTATCTGCTCAGGAACAAATCTTTCAGGTTGTCCTCTTATCACAGAGTCAGGTGGAGGCTTTTCATTAATAGGAACTACTTGCAATTCCTTTCGGGTATATGCACATCTGGATACACCTAATCGACCATGTGGTCCATTAAGGAGATATGTAGGAGGCTGTTCGGGTGAGAGTATCATTTTTTTGATTACACGAATGTTTGGGTTCCATCTTATGTCTCCCGTACGGAATTTTCCGTGAAGTTTATTACCGAGTACTGAGATAGGTTCATCTAACTTGACTCTGACACGTGCTCCTTCAGAGAGGAGATCCGTCTTTTTTGACACTTTGGGTGATCCTGTCGGAATGTCTGGGGGATTTCTCTGCCAGAGTTCATTTACTTTACTCACTATATTATGGAAATCTTCTGACCATTCCACGGATGTCACCCCGGTTTTCAACTACTGTGCTACCATTCGTTTTAGGAGAGGTTCCTGGATTGCTTGGATAGCTCGTTCAGCGTATGATTGCTGTTTGTGTCTTTCTGGTTCTCCGAACCTCATCATCACCCCTAGGCTGTTCAAGAAAAAATCACGTACCTGATCATTGGTGAATTCTGATCCGGAGTCTGTCTCCATTCGATGTGTTGGTGGCTTAATGCGATTTCTTCTGTAGATTTTAACAAATCCATTGAGAATCCTATTTGCAGTTTTATCCTTTAGGGGTTCTGCGTCGACTCGTTTACCCGCGACTTCTACCACTACGAGGAAATAGTGGAATCCTTTGGGTCAACTGGCATCTCTGCAAGATTTGCCTGATGTGTTGCATTTGGTTTCCATACAATTACCTTTGGGCGTTCTGTTGACTTTTCCTTTAGGGGCTTTTTGTATAGGTTGTAGTGCTCTTCACCTTTTAGAATTCGTGCTGATACTCCAGAGAGATTGTAGTATTTATAGTAATTTTCTAAGTGTGACATATTACGACAAATTAAAGGAATGGTTTTAGACTTCAAATATTAAAATGACACGTTTTTACTGCCTAAAGTGCAAGAAGGAAACTGAGACAGCTAGTGAAATACAAGATATGACTACAAATGGGCGTTACCGACTGCATGGTGACTGCACAATTTGTGGTATGCATAAGAATACTTTTACTGGAATAGACTGGGTGATCAAGAAGAAGACTAAGGAGAAAAAGAAAGAAACCGCTGCTAAGAGACAGCAGACGGCTTACAATCGGCAATGCAAAAAACTTGGACAGAAAATCTTAGATTCTGATGACGCTTGTAAACAGTGTATTGATAAATGCCTTAAAGAGGCAAAAAAGAGGAAGACGGATTAGTACTGTCTTCTAAACTTATCTGGATATGCTCTATTCTCNGAGGCAAAAAAGAGGAAGACGGATTAGTACTGTCTTCTAAACTTATCTGGATATGCTCTATTCTCAATACCCATTGTTCAATTACTTATTTTTTCTGACGGGGATGGGACGGGGTTGGTCTTACTGGCTCTATAGACCTTCTAGGGGCTTACCTGCTAACTTACATGGTTTGCTGTCTCACTGCTTCCAACAGATGAATAGACGGAATCCTGACTTGTTCCAGACGTTCCGGATGTGGTGGATCTGGGGGATAAAAATAAAACTTTTTCTGGGGGGATGTCCTCTCATATTTTTTCTGAAACATCTGCCACATCTGCCACATCTGGGACAACCCTCTCATTATATCCGTTATTCCTTTCTTTTCTATTGTTTTCTAGTTATTTGGTATATATATTTGTTCCATATGTTGTCCCAGATTGTGGAGGATCTATGGGGGATTCCTGAGCCCCGTAGGGGCCATATAGGTACTGCGACGGGTCGTAGACCCGGAGGTGGGTGGTGCTAGCACCACTCACATCCAGCCTGACGACCGGCTTGAATACTACGAAACTGGACTTTAAGGTAGTAAGAACAGGAAAAAGGGGGAGAGTTTTTTGTTATTTTAAATTTAAGAAACGAACTAACGTTTCTTTTCATAATTTTTTTTTGTAGGACGCGTAATAGGACGCCAGCTTGAATATGAAACCAGACTTTAAAGTAAAAAATGGGGAAAGGGAATTTTTTTATTTTAAATATGAGAAATGAACTAACGTTTCTTTAATTATTTTATTTTGTAGGACTGACGCGTAGAAAGGGGGATGGAGGAAGGTGATTTTGTTAGAACCAAGATTCTTATCTTGGTTTATTTATTTTTTCTTTTATTTTATGGAACGGTTTACTAACCGTTCTTTCTTTTTTTTATAGGATCGAGTGGACTTCCGAAGATCGGAAAAAGGAGAACTAAGGTTTGTAAGTATTATATTACGAACCTTAGATTTTTTTTAATATTATGAACGGTTTACTAACCGTTCTTTTTCTTTTTTTTAGATCTTGAGTGTCTCAAGTATCTTCCGAAGAACGGAAAAAACCAAGATTCGTAAATATGAATTTTGGTTTATTTTTATTTTTATTTTATTATTATGAACGGTTTTTAACCGTTCTTTTCTTTTATTTTTTAGGTTTCAGGTGGGCTTCCAAAGAACAGAAAACTCAAAAATTCGTAAAGACGGTACGAATCTTTAAATTTTTATTATTTTTTTTTTTTGTTATTATGGACGGTTTCTAACCATTCTTTTTCTTTTTTTTTCAAGTAAAGTACCATTCTTTTGGCTTAAAATGGGTACTCCGATTCCTCTTTGGGTTAGCGATGACTATGAAGAGGTAAATGTACCAGGTCTCAGATGGATTTCCAAAGAATGGAAAAAGGAGAACCTTTATTAAGATTCGTAAGTATTCTATCTTATGAATCTTAGATTTTTTTTTAATGTTATGGAACGGTTACTAACTGTTCTTTTACTTTTTATATAGATCTCGGGTGGGCTTCTGAATAATGTAAAAGAACTAAGATTCGTAAGTATTATTCCGAATCTTAGTTTTTTTTTTCTTTTTTTTAATATTATGAACGGTTACTAACCGTTCCTTTTCTTTTTTTCATAGATTTGGGTGGGTTTCCAAAGAACCGAAAGAAGGAACCAAGATTCATAAGTATATACGAATCTTGGTTTTTATTATTATTATTTTATTATTATTATGAACGGTTACTAACCGTTCTTTTTCTTTTTTTTAGGTCTCGGGTGGGTTTCTGAAGAATGGAAAAAGAAGGCCAAGATTCGTAAGTATATACGAATCTTAACAGATTGGTAAGTTTTGAAGTTTCACTTCTAAACTTTTTAATTAAATTAATTTTTTTTTATTAATACTTTTATCTTTTTATTGTAGGTTGTATTTCCTGGACATGAAGATTGGTAAGTTTTGAAGAATAACTTCTAAATTTTTTTTTGTTCCAGAGTATTGAGTTAATTTAATAGACTTTAGTATATACAGTAGATTAGTTGTTATAGTGTAATTTAATGTATATAGATTGTTATAGTGTATTTAATAAAATAAATTCAATAATATTATAAATTTAATATGATGTTTATTATCTTTAAATAATGTACATCGTTAATGGACATTAAAATTAGGTGATGCACATCAAATATTGTGACATCGGTAGTACATTGCAGGGTCCGATGTTCAGCGTTTCTTTATGATGTACATCAAGTGATTGATGTACATTTGATGAACATTTTTCCCGTGACTTCCTGATGAAGTAGCAATAATAAAAATATAAAATTTCGGACTAGTTTTCATGTAATTTTTATGGATTTTACAAAAATTCCATGGAAATCTACAAGAATTCCATGTAATATGGCAAAAAAAAAATTTTGCCGCTCACGCGGCAATTAATATTTTGACAAAGTACTTTAAAATATAAGTTACACAATATAAATAAATAAATTTCAAAATTTCGGACTATTGTTGTTTATAGGTGACAGCCACCATATATAATTTCGATAATGTAGTAAAATATCCGGAAAATATACTGAAACAAGACATTATCCGAACATTATCCGAATATTATGTAAATTTTTGAACAAAATAAAAAATTTCTTTTCCATAACGACTAATGTTTTTAATGTTTAAATTATTGAAGTTTATAATATTATAAATTTGCAGAATTTAAAATTATAATTTAAAATCGAATAATAAATGCTCGTATTAAAATCACTAAAAAATTTGGGAAAATGCACTTTATTATGTTTATATCGAACCCTAGTAACTTCTAATTTCACATGATCTTTAAGAATAAAATTAATTATAAAAGCATGTTAATACATTTAAAATTGAGTAACCTTAAACAACACTTGTATAGAATAATTTTCTATCTAAGTTCCACTTTTTTCTTTCTATTATTTTAATTTTGTTTGAGAAGAATCATCATATTCAACATTACGTCTTACTAACTTATATAGGTACTGTAATATCCAAATTTTATTATTATTCATAGAATATGTAACCAATTACATTTAATTCATTGTATAATTCTTGTGCTTTAATTTCATTTTTTTCAGTTCCTATTCCATTAGAATAGCAATATATAAGCTTGTGCATTGAATTAATATGACCTTCTCCAGCTGCTTCCTCATACAACCTAAATGCCTTAATTTCATTCTTCTCAGTTCCTATTCCGTGTTGATAGTAATATCCAAGATGATATATTGAATCAATGTCTCCTTTATCAGATGCTTTCTTATATAATTCAAATGCTTTATATTCATCTTTTTCAGTTCCAATTCCATTTTTATAATAACTTGCAAGTTTATTTATTGAAATAATATCACCTTCTATTTCTGCTTTTTTATATAATCCAAATGCTTTAATTTCACTTTTTTCAGTTCCTACTCCATTTTCATAACAGTTTGCAATATTATATATTGCATTAATATCTCCTTTATCAGCTGCTTCTTTATATAATTTAAATGCTCTAATTTTATCCTTTTCAGTTCCTATTCCATTTTCATAACAGTTTGCAAGATTATTTATTGCAGCAATATCTCCTTTTTCTGCTGCTTCTTTATATAATTCAAATGCTTTAATTTTATCTTTTTCAGTTCCTATTCCATTTTGATAACAATACCCAAGATTATTGATTGCTCTTATTTGACCTTTTTCAGCTGCTTTTTCATACAATTCAAATGCTCTAATTTCATTATTTTCAGTTCCTATTCCATAATAATAGCATTCTCCAAGATTATTTATTGCATCAATATCTTCTTTTTCAGCTGCTTCTTTATATAATTCAAATGCCTTGATTTTATCTTTTTGAGTTCCTATTCCATTTTCATAACAATCTGCAATATTATATATTACATCTATATCTTCTTTCTCAGCCGCTTCATTATATAATTTAAATGCTTTAACAATGTTTTTTTTAGTTCCTATTCCATTTTGATAGCAATATCCAAGATTATTTATTGCATCATTGTCTCCTTTTTCAGCTGCTTCTTTATATAGTCCAAATGCTTTAATTTCATCTTTTTCAGCTCCTATTCCATTTTCATAACAGTCTGCAAGATTATATATTGCATCAATATCTCCTTTTTCAGCTGCTTCTTTATATAATCTAAATGCTTTAATTTTATCTTTTTTAGTTCCTATTCCATATTGATAACAATATCCAAGATTACTGATTGCTTTTATTTGACCTTTTTCAACAGCTTTCCCATACAGTTCAAATGCTTTAATCTCATCTTTTTCAATTCCCATTCCATAATAATAGCATTCTCCAAGATTGTTAATCGCCTTTATTTGACCTTTTTTAGCTGCTCTTTCGAATAATTTAAATGCTCTAATTTCATCATTTTCAGTTCCTATTCCATAAGAATAGCATTCTCCAAGATTATTTATTGCATCAATATCTCCTTTTTTAGCTGCTTCATTATATAATTTAAATGCTATAATTTTATCTTTTTGAATTCCTATTCCATTTTCATAACAATATCCAGGATTGTTAATTGCACTCATTTGACCTTTTCTAGCTGCTTTTTTATACAGTTCAAAGGCTCTAATTTTATTTTTTTCAGTTCCTATTCCATTTTGATAACAATATCCAAGATTATTGATTGCCTTTATTTGGCCTTTTTCAGCTGCTTCTTCATACAGTTTAAATGCTTTAATTTCATCTTTTTCAGTTCCTATTCCATTTTTATAACAGTTTGCAAGATTATATATTGCATCAATATCTCCTTCTTTAGATACTACTTCTTNTGAAAACTATAGCTGTCTCTTATACACATCTAGATGTGTATAAGATATTTTCATAACAGTTTGCAAGATTACATATTGCATCAATATCCCCCCTTTCAGCTGCTTCTTTATATAATTCAAATGCTTTAATTTCATTTTTTTCAGTTCCTATTCCATTTTGATAACAATATCCAAGATTACTGGTTGCCTTTATTTGACCTTTTTCAGCTGCTTTTTTGTATAATTCAAATGCTTCAATTTTATCTTTTTCCGTTCCTATTCCATAATAATAGCATTCTCCAAGTTTATTTATTGCATCAATATCTCCTTTTTCAGCTGCTGCTTTACATAATTCAAATGCCTTAATTTTATTTTTTTCAGTTCCTATTCCATTTTCATAACAGTTTGCAAGATTGTATATTGCATAAATGTCTTCCTTTTCAGCTGCTTCTTTATATAATTCAAATGCTTTAATTTCATCTTTATCAGTTCCTATTCCATTTTCATAACAATATCCAAGATTGTTAATTGCACTTATTTGACCTTTTTCAGCTGCCTTTTCATACAGTTTGAATGCTTTAATTTCATCTTTTTCAGTTCCTATTCCACAATAATAGCATTTTCCAAGATCATTGATTGCCTTTATTTGACCTTCTCCAGCTGCTTTCTTATACATATCAAATGCTTTAATTTCATCTTTTTCAGTTCCTATTCCATTTCATAACAGTTGGCAATATTATATATTGCATCAATATTTTCTTTTTCAGCTGCTTCTTTATATAGTTCAAATGCTTTAATTTTATTTTTTTCGGTTCCTATTCCATAATAATAGTATTTTCCAAGTTTATTTATTGCATTAATATCACCTTTTTTAGCTACTTCTTTATATAATTCAAATGCTCTAATTTTGTTTTTTTCAGTTCCTATTCCATTTTCATAACAGTTTGCAAGATTATATATTGCATCAATATCTCCTTTTTTAGATACTACTTCTTTATATAATTCAAATGCTCTAATTTTGTTTTTTTCAGTTCCTATTCCATTTTCATAACAGTTTGCAAGATTATGTATTGCATCAATATCCCCCCTTTCAGCTGCTTCTTTATATAATTCAAATGCTTTAATTTTATCTTTTTCAGTTCCTATTCCATTTTGATAACAATATCCAAGATTACTGATTGCCTTTATTTGACCTTTTTCAGCTGCTCTTTTATATAATTCAAATGCTTTAATTTTATCTTTTTCGGTTCCTATTCCATAATAATAGCATTCTCCAAAATTATTTATTGCATCAATGTCTTCTTTTTCAGCAGCTACTTTATATGATTTAAATGCTTTGTTTTCATTTTTTTTAGTTCCTATTCCATATTGAAAACAATATCCAAGGTTATAAATTGCATTAATAACACCTTTTTCAGCTGCTTTTTTAAATAGTTCAAATGCTATATTTTCATTTTTTTCCGTTCCTATTCCATGTTGATAGTAATATCCAAGATAATTAATCGCATTAATTTGACCCTTTTCAGCTGCTTCTTTATATAATTCAAATGCTTTGTTTTCATTTTTTTCAGTTCCTATTCCATAACAATAAAAAATTGCTAAAACTTGAATGTTTTGCTGCTTATCATTATTATCTAATAGGTATTTAAATATTTCATGTTCATTTGTATTTTTAATTATTAAATGTATTTTTATTAATTGTGCAATATCTTTTTTATCAACTTTATTTTGAATAGAATGTTCGTATTGTGATATTATTTCATTGATAATAATCTCATTTAAATCGATATTAATTAATTTTAGGAGAGATAATACTTGCTGTATATCCAGTCTATTGTTTGGATTGATTTCCCAGCATTCTAAAAATACATTGAAAATAAAAAAGAATTAGTATTATTATTAATAAATAACAAATATAAATTAAACATATATTAAACATTAATACTTGTATAAATATTAATATAATCAATTGGTGTATTAGGAATTGGAGTTTCTCTTTTTCCATCTAATATTTCCAATAATAATTTATTCCTTTGGTAAGAATTATAAGATTTAAATGGTTTATATCCAGATGATATCTCCCACAAAAGTACGCCGATACTGTATATATCCGATTTTTTATTTGGCTTATAACAATAACTTTTATTATTACTTGTTTGTGTTTGAAAAAATTGTGGGTCAATATAAGGTAATACTCCAACAATGTCTTTTTGAGTTGACACTTCAGCCAATCTATGTGAATGTCCGAAATCTGCTAATTTGAGCATATTTTGATGAACCAATATATTGTCTGAATGCTATTTTTTTATAAAGTAAATTAGGATATTACTACGCGTAAAGATATAGATAAATTATAAAATACTAGTACTTACTAGGTCACAATGAATAATATCATTTTCATGTAAACATGATACTGCATCAGCAATTTGGATAGCAAACTGTAACTTCATATTCCAATCTAATCTACTGAAATTATTTTTTAAAAATTCTCCCAATGTACCACTATCTGCATATTCAAGAATGAGTAAATAATTTGTATCTTCATTATCTAAAATATAATATATAAAAATTTTATTAATATATTTATTCCTTTAAAAAATCATTGAAAAAATAATACCTACTTTTTTTTTTAGTAATACCAAAAAATTTAATAATGTTAACATGAAGATTGACTTTTTGCAATAATTTTATCTAAATAGAAAAACGTACTTTAATTATTGGGTTTTTGATTATTATATGATAATAAATGGTGAAAAAAAAGATCTAAATTTCTAACATAAAAATAAAGTTAAAATATAAAAGGATGTAACATATTGCAATAAATAATATCCTCCCAATTGAGTATCCCAGTAAATAGTTTTTGTATAAATTTATACCAAACGGGCTCATTGGCTCGAAATTAGCTCAAATTAAATAATCCAAATTTAAGCCAATCTAGAGCCAATTATATATGGATGAGCCCATTTGGTACAATGGGTATATATATAAACTGTACTGTACGAAGTGAAAACTCACCAATCAGATTTTATTGTACGATAAATAAAAAAAATCTGAAAAGTATACAATGAGTTATGATTGGCCAAAATATTTTCGTACAGTACAGTTTATCTATTTACCTCTCCCGATTGCATTCCGTGCGATCTATAAAGTCTCTTAAATTAAATATCAATATGTGAACATACCTCATTAACAATTTCTTTTATAAAAAGATTATTATTTTTAATACATTTTAATGCAATGACAGTATCTGAATTCTTCAAAGTAGCTCGATAAACTTTACTAAATCCTCCAGAACCTATACATTGAAAATCCTTAAATTCATTGTAATCATAGTAATTAATATAATTTTCAACGATGCCATTTTCAAGCCACTGAATCTGTTTATCTTCATTAATACCGGAATTGCTTGCCATTTTTCTATAGAATTCAGATTCTTTAAGTAATAAAAAAAACCAAACGATTAAATGGTATTTATGTACTTACAAACGTTTCACAAGTTACAAAACGCATGATCTACAAATAAATTTAGTATATTTTAAGTATAAACCCATAAAGTCTGCCAATCGCTCAATTATTTATTGTATTATTAGATTAATCATGTGAGTATTATTCAATTGCATATACTGTCATCTGATTAGATATTCACACATCGCAATCGATACTACGTTCAACTAAAAATTTGACAAATTTTTATGTATAAATTGTAAAAAAAAAATATTGATATAAAGAATTGTAAAAGAATACAAGAACTATAATAAGAAAAAAAACTAACTGAGATGAAAACTATAGTTTATAAAAAAATCTCTTTTTTTTAAAAAAAAAAGAAAAAAAATGATTATCAAAAGGAAATGACACGATTGTGAAAATTATACAAAAAGGAAATAGCGGTAATCTCTATGGAAAGATGTTTTTGTAGAGGTAAACTGTCTTGAAAAGATACGAATTATGCAGAAATGCCAAATTAAATACAATTTCGATCGGATCATAGTGTTAACACGATAGTTATTAAAAAAAGAGAATATTACGATGTCGGGGGATGTTAACTGTCCTATGTAATTATGGGTCTATGATCGATAAGTTGAACAGTAAACGATATACTGGTCTGGCCCATCTTGGTCCGGGTCTTCATCGGTCACCGGACCCTAGGACTGGGACCGTTCGGTCCTATAAGACTGCGGTTACAGCTGATTTCATAATGCACGCAAATTTTAAAGAACTCGGAAACATTTGGTAAAACTCAAAATAAGATAAAATTATACCACCATTCTCGGAATAGTACTCCAAAATTAGCGTATAATTTTTATTTTTATTTTATATCAACTATCAAGCTTTACCGAGTTCTTTAAAATTTGCTAAGTGTCCCGTATATTATGAAATCAGCTGTAACAAAAAAAAAAAAAAATCAGTCCTATAACAGGACCGCAGTACGGCCGGGCCGTCAACAATCCTCCTATTAACGTATCATTAGTTACTTATTAAAATTTTAAAATATTTGTTTTTCTTTATTTGTTAGTTTTCTGACTATACCTGACTAACGCTTTATACTTGGTTATACTATATAATCGAATTAAAATTTGCTATTAAAGCATTAAAGTTTAGAATGATACACTGAGAAGTTTAATCTGCTGAATCATTAAGCCGTATAAATGTTTAGTAGAATATTTTAAAGAATTCAAACTATAAATTATTTGTTAATTTATTAGTTTGCAAATTACAATTATTTTTTAGGGTAGAGAAATTTCCGGTTAATAAAGATTCTATTTTAATTTCTCTCTTTGGGTTATCTTACAAAGATTGATAATTGACATTTTTATTCTTATTTTATTTTTGTATTAGTATACACAAAAAGAAATTTTTGAATAATTGTACGATTTTGAATTAAACAACAAAAAAACCAGCTTCTTTAAATTTAAGTTGATCAATCAAAAATCGTTCAAAGAATTTTATACCATTCTTTTACTAAATTAGGTTAAAAATTTTATGTACGATTTAAAAAATTTCATGTAATCGTTATATACAGTTTGAAATTATCCAATAAGAATTAAATATTTATTGATGCTCAAATTTATTATTTGTTTCATTATTAATTTCTTTTGTTGATCCGCTACTCTTTATTTACTTTAATTGGTTATTGTAATTTAACAATTTAACAAGTTAAAAAAAAATCTGTATCTAATATTTCGAGATTCATAATTTAATAAATATCACATATAATCATGCTTGAGATAAAAAAAAATAATTTTATTCTTTTTTTATATTTTTCTTCAAAAAAATTACGAGAAAAAAAAAAAAAATTTCATTTTAATTTACATAATCCACCAAATTCAACATTCCTTTAAAATCATACAGTATATTATATTATGATTTATAAAATGCGATTATTTACTTTATTCCTTCTCAATATAATAGCGACGACAGCATTTCCAATGTGAGTTTATTATATTATTTGATAAAATTCAGAATTCAAAATTCAAATTAAATTAAACTAAATTAAATTATATTTATTATTCTTAGTGATATAACGTCAAATCATTTAAGAAAGAGAAATATCCTCGACGATAAATTTGTTCTTACAATACTTAAATGGGCCATTATTTTTGTCGTCGTTTTTTTAATGTCAGCGTGTTGTGTTTGTAGACGAAAACGTGTAAAAAATAATGAAAATGGAAATGATCCGGTCAATTCATAATGATCCGGTTAATAATTTGATCACTCATTCACTTAAATAGTTTAAATTACTGTTTAATATGATAAAAAAAAAAAAAGAAAAGAAAAAGAAACAGGTTTTCTTTAACAATAATTTATAAAATATTTCTTTCTTAGTAAATAAAATAGAATTAAATTACGCGTAATCGTGAGGCCAAGTTGGCGAATAAAAATATCTATTGTATTATAAATTTTTAATTATCAGTTATTATATTTTTATATAAAAGTGGAGATATACAAGGAGTAATTAAGAGTATGCTAATTATTATTATTATTATTATTATACATAAAAATCCTTTTTTTCTCCTTCTTTTATAGTTTACATTATAATTATAAATCGATTAAAAAAAAAAAATAATAATAAATATCTAAAGTAAAGTAAAGAATACACCAACTAATCCGAAAATTATACCGGCTAAGATCATAGATTTAGGTTCTAAAATTATTGGCTTATTAGCATCACTACCTGCCAACAGACTTGGACTTGGTGAACTAAAATTTGGTGATACTGGAGTTTTAGGAACTCCAACAGTAACTGTAAAAGTAGGTTCTGGTGGTAGTTCATGTCCAGGTGCTTCTGATGGTAGTGCACCTTTAGGAGGAATAGGATCTATTGTGGGTGGTAAACCAGTTGGAGGTGAAGCAGGTAATGAAGGTGGAGATTTGGGTGAAGAACCTGGAGTTGAGGAACCTGGAAGCGATGATTTAGGTGAAGAATTTGGTGGTGAAGATTTAGGTGAAGAATCTGAAGGTGGTGAAGATTTGGGTGATGAATCTGAAGGTGATGAATCGTCTGAAGGTGAAGTTTTGGGTGAAGATTTAGGTGATGAATCATCTGGAGGTGAAGATTTGGGTGGAGAATCTGAAGGTGATGAATCGTCTGGAGGAGAAGATTTGGGTGATGAATCTGAAGGTGATGAACCGTCTGGAGGTGAAGATTTGGGTGGAGAACCTGAAGGCGAAGAATCATTTGGAGGTGAAGATTTGGGTGGACCTGAGGGTGAAGAATCATTTGGAGGCGAAGATTTGGGTGATGAATCTGAAGGCGAAGAATCATCTGGAGGTGAAGATTTGGGTGGAGAACCTGAAGGTGAAGAGTCATTTGGAGGCGAAGATTTGGGTGAAGATTTAGGTGATGAATCTGAAGGTGATGAATCTGGTGATGAATCGGATGGAGGTGAAGACTTAGGTGATGAAGAATCTGAAGGTGAAGAATCAGGTGAAGAATCAGAGGGAGGTGGAGATTTGGGTGGAGATTCTGAAGGTGAAGAATCGTCTGGAGGCGAAGATTTAGGTGGAGAACCTGAAGGTGAAGAATCGTCTGGAGGCGGTGATTTAGGTGGAGAACCTGAAGGTGATGAACCGTTTGGGGGCGAAGATTTGGGTGAAGAATCTGAAGGTGAAGAATGTGGAGAATCGTCTGGAGGTGAAGATTTGGGCGGAGGACCTGAAGGTGAAGAATCGTCTGGGGGTGAAGATTTGGGTGGAGGACCTGAAGGTGAAGAATCGTCTGGGGGCGAAGATTTGGGTGAAGAATCTGAAGGTGAAGAATCAGATGAAGAATCTGAAGGTGGTGAAGATTTGGGTGAATGTTTCAGAGGTGAAGGTTCATGTGCTGTAGGTGGTGAAGATTCAATAGGAGATTTCGAAGTTTTAGGAGATGAATGCGTTTCACTTCTACGAAAAATTAAAAATCAGTTAAGGAATGGGAATGACCGATAATTAACTAATATCAGAAGTGTGTACTTACGTATTTGCATCACCAGAATTATGTTCACTAAAATATCAATATCAAATTTGAAATGAATATTGGTTAAATAATTGAATAATTACATAAGAAAAAAAAATTGCTTAATTATTTACTGTGATTGTCCTGGTGAATCCTGGTTTTGTGACTCTTCATCATGATCATGATCATGATCATCTTTGTTTTTATCCGATTCTTTTGGACCATCATCATCGTCATCATTGTCGCAGTCGTCGTGGTCGTTGTCGTCGTCGTGATCGTGATCGTGATCGTGATCGTGGTCGTCGTTGTCGTCGTCGTCGTGTTTTGTTTTTTCCTTATTTGTATGTCCCTTATGTAACACCTTTGTATTTACATCGATTTCATATCTATCTTCGTGTGCAACTGTTAATAAAATCGAAGAAAATATCAATGAAGATAATAAAATAACAATAATTTGAATTCTCATTATAAAATATTATTTCAATAAGAAATCATATTTCCATTTAACCTTTTATTTATATATACTACAAGAAATACATGATACGGCGAAATTTTTAGCTTGTGGCTAAATATTTGTGGCTTAGCACATCCGTTTATGGCTTTGACTGAATTGTGAGATCTAACTAATTTTTTTTTTTGTAAATCGTTATCTAAACAAATACAAAAAAGCATGTTAAACTAATTGTATGCATATCTTTTATTATATAAAATACGGTTTAATATACGGTTATTACAAAAAGTAGAAACTATCTTACATCAGGTTTTTCATTTTCAAGAATTTAATTGAAAAATATATTGTAAGCATATCCTTGGAAAAAAATTCTTACAATCTGAAAGTTTCCTCATATTAAAAGTTAAAGGTTACGAATGTGTAAACTGTGAAGTATGAACACAAATCACAAAATTATTCATATTGTTGATTTAAATGTATTACTAATGTATTTATCGATTTTAAGTCGTATAAAATAAGTAACGGTATTAAATAGTAATATCTGAGGGGGCATTAAAGAACTTGATCTTCGTACTTTAAAAAATGATTGAATGATTAGCAAATTACTCTGTAAGCATTAAGTAATTATTTAGATTTATACTTACGTCATCGTCTGTTCTAGATTTATAATAGCGTAATTTTGCGGCTTTTTAACTAAACAAATTTTTGGTCTTTGATATCTAAATAAATCCCTTTGTGTTATACAAATGTTTTTATTCCTAATTATTATTGTAATAGATTTTATAGATTTTACCGCCTCTAATTGTTTCCGAAAATTCTGGAAGATTTTTTCTCAAACTCCTATGAAAAATATTTAAAGTCGAGAATTAAGTGTTTTTCATAATTTTTGTAAATTCATGCGTTTCAAATCTGGATCTATTTTAAAGCTTGGTATATGATTAACGATAGTAAAATTTCTTAAATATCTCTATTCAATTTTTTCAGTTTATAATTTTATTTTTTTTTTTGTGATGATCTAATTTGTTTGTTAATGGGCTGAATTTATTATATAATTTTCTTATAATTTGCTGCGGTTAATTATTCCATTGATTTCCGGAGTTATAAAGTTATAAATTCCGACATTATAACATTATCCATATTATGTTTATGTAGTAAATCAACAAATCAGCGATGTTACCCAGTGCTGCTGCTACATATTTATCATGTTCTGATGATCCAAAATAAGAATTATCATACGATGCATATCAATACCATAACCAATAATGGGATAAGTCTATTAAGAATTAATATTATAATAATATAAATAGTATAAATAAATTTACTTAATAAAAAAGTAATTTTTTATATATAGCCGAGAATAAGAATTAGGATCGGCAGGAGATTAAGACACTTAGGTAAAGTTATTTTTTTTTTAAAAAAAAAAATGATAAAATATTTTTTTTTTTTTTTTGATGTCGTAACACTTTGTGGCTTGTAAAAAGATATTTATGGAAATTACTTTTTACGCTTTTATCTATATAGGTGTATATATATATATAAGTTATTGTATAAAATATTAAAATATATTCGAGGTAAAGTTTCGAAAAAAAATTTTTTTTTTAAACGTTTTGTCTTCTACATTTGCACATTTACGTTCACTTATTTTCTTTTTGTCTTTTGTTATCATTATACAGTACTATTTTTTACTTTCGACATTATTTTCTATAGACTACTTATACGTAAATTCGCAAAAACGTTCATTTTTTCTTATTGTTTTTTTTTCATTTTTAAATTAATTCGATTAATATTTTATTTCTTATTTTCAGGTCACCTTTAGAATTAAAGTATTATATCAATAATAATGGAACGACGTTCTAGGAAGGGGGATATGGATTTTGTTTTGAGATTTGCTCCACCTACGAGGGAACCTTTTGCAGAAAGGCGACTTTTTCCATCAAGACAGATAAATATACACGAAGAAATTATAATTCATGGGGGTTTATATGAAATTGGAGAATCTAATGAGTCTAATGAAGAATTATTAAATCAATTAAAAATATCAAATCAATTAATTGGAAATATTGCTGTTATCGGTGAATCATCAAAACATTTTGATGTTTTGATTTCAGATATTCTTGATTTAATTAAAAATATTTTAGAATTATATGAAACTATTCAATTTAACAAAAAAATTTGTGATTGTTTAATTGATAGAATTGAAAGTACTGAAATGTCTATTAAATCTTTAAAAAGGCATAAAGAAGAAAATGTTGGGTATTTTTTACAACAAAATATTTATTATGGTTATCATAAATTTATTGATTTATTGGAGAGGATACGTCATTTTATTACTGATATTTCGCAACTTCATGGTTTAAGAAAATTTAAAAGTGTTGAAAAATTAAAAGAACATTTTAGAAATATTACTAGAGAATTTGATGATCTTGTAATTAATTTACGTTTAAAAGTTACTTATTCTAAAAAAGATCAAGGCGTAAGGGATGATGAAGCTGCTGAATATGATGGTGCCGCGTTGACTAAGGTATGAAATTTTTAATAAATTTATTTATCCTTATAGTTTATTCTTAATAAATAATTTGACGAAAGAAATATTTTAACTTCCTCGTTTCTCTAGTTTTTAGAAAATGTTGATGGTGGGATTACGACATCGAATAAGAAGATTAATCCTATATTTGATGAAATAATTATCAAAAGATCACAAATATCGGATTCAAAAAAAGTCAAATTTCAAACGAAAAAGATAACAAAACTCGATACAAAAAATTATGATAGTAATAATACTTTAAATAATAATAATAATAGAGGGGGGAATATTCATAAAATGTCTTATGAATCAAAATTTGTGGCGTGTAAATATTATGATAGTGAACAATCACCAAGGTTTGATAATGAATTAGCGATGTTACAATTATTAAATAATTCAGATAATATTATAAGATTTTTAGGATTATCAGATTTAGATGAAGGTCAAGTATTAATTTTTGATTGGGCTGAATATGGGGATTTACAATCTTTATATGAAAAGTATACTCTTGATTGGCCTGTAAAATTAAATATTGCTTTAGGAATTTGTCGTGGGTTATCATTTTTACATGGTTGTCAAATTCTTCATAGAGAGATTAGATGTCAAAATATTATGGTAAGTAAAAATCAAAGTGGATTTTTTTTTTGTTTTAACGAATATTTTTAAATTAAATTCTATTTTTTTTTTCTTAGATTAATGAAAGACTTGAACCAAAGGTAGCGAATTTTAATTTTGGAAGACCCGCTAAATATAGTAGATATTTTGTTGAAAATATAACGGCAGTGGTTCATTGGTTAGCGCCTGAAAAACTAAGGCAAGGAACAAAAGTGAAGTTTTCATCAAAATGTGATATTTTCAGGTTCGTTCCTAAAAATTAAGTGTATTCGATCAAAATGGCCACGTTAATCTTACGTAATACTTTTTTTTTATGTTTAGTTTTGGTATGCTTTTGTGGGAGATAGCTTTTGATGTAATTCCATATAGAGATTGGAGTTATACGAACATTATTGATCATGTTAAGGCTGGTAAACGTGAAAGTATTGATTTTGGTCCGAATCCATCTGAAGTCCAAAAAGATTTTGCAAAGATAATTCGAGCCGGTGAAATTTTATTAACGCAAATTAAGTCTTTCTTAACTTGTCAATTTTCTGCAGTATTAATAATTTTTATTTTTTGAACTTAAATAGCGTGGCAAGATGATCCAACACTTCGACCGGGACTCCATGAATTGTTTAATCAATTATACGATTTAACGCAAAAATATCCTTTAAAAGAATTCACACCTCCAACCAGAAAGAATGTTATGACAGATTTGGACAAAAAACCAAGTAGTAGTAATTTAGATAATAATAACAACAATAACATTATTATAGATGGAGATAATGATGATCCTATACCAGAAGTCACGGATTATAAGATTGATTTTTTACCAATGATTCAACCAATATTATTGATAGAAGAAGGTATAAAATTACATAAATCAGGAGAGCGTAAACCGGCATGGGAATGTTTTCAATCACATGCAAAATTAGGTAATCATTATGCGAAATATTGGAAAGCACATTATTTAACGGAAGGTTATCATATTCAAAAAGATATTAAACAAGGAACGAAATTTTTTAAAGAAGCTGCTGATGAAGAAGTTGCTGATTCACAATTACGTTACGCCTTTTCACTTTATCATGATCAAATTATTCAAGATACTGATGCTTTCTTACAATATTTAACTTTAGCAGCGGAAAATGGTAATGCTACAGCACAATTTAATTTAGGTAGAATGTATTATGCTGGTATGGTTGGTTTAAATAGGGATAAGGAGAAAGGTTTACAATATTTAAAGATGGCAGCTTTAAAAAACCAACCAAGGGCTATACAATTTTTAAATAGCGTTAAGATTGATAGATATATTTAGATAGATTTTTCATTTTAAAGTTTGTTGATTTTTTTTTTTCTTTTTTCTTTTTATATTTATTTTATATATTCTATATACAGTATATGTACGTATGTATTATTTGAAATTATAAACCAATAAAATTTATATTCTAAAAAAATTATAGGGATCATTCATTATTAATTATAATTTCGTCCCGACAATAATCCACAAAAGAAATCCGGGATACATCAAAAACGGGATTATTATTATTCAGGTGTCGGAACTTGATAAAAATACGGCGGTCTAAGATTTAGCAACGTAGAAAAGATCACTTTGCAAGGGAGAGTAAGTAAAGAGGCGATCCCGTGATGTGTTGGGTTATATCCCAATTTTAATAATTATAGATTGTATGTATTTTTTTGCTATAATAAAAAAAAAACTTATTTAATAAAACTACTCAGGTAAGTTGGATCAATAATAACAAGTTTTTACCAATACCCGATGCGAGGTTTTCAACATATTTAATTCTCTAAGTAAATTGATTACATTTTATAATTTCTAAATATTTTAATCCAGTATAATTTCTTCAATAAGGATTCTAATAATGAAATTCTTTTCAAAACTTTAACGTGCAATACGTCAATCTCTAAAAATTTTTTACTGAACAAAATATTTACGATAAACTTTATCGTATTTCAATTTGGAGTAAACGTATGTCAAGACATCGCTAGTTAAAATATTTTTTTCAAATTCATAATTTTATTTCATGGTCACATCAATTAAAATATTTTTCCAAATATCAGTCGGAATACTGCTGGTACTAGTATTAGCATCAGTTTCTATTATAACGTTAAAAAAACTATTGATAATTTGACATAAATACTGTATGTAGCAAAAGCAATATTTTATTTCAAATTTAAATATAATAATAAAATAAATTTTGTTTTATTGCCTCGCAAATAAGATATCTTTAATAAAAAACGGAATTTACCGAATAATCACATTTTTATAGCTTCAATAGTAAGAAAAGTTAAGATTTCGCGTTGTAATATAAAATTCTTTCCCAACAAATTATTAAGTTATGGTACCTATAAGTCTCACAAGTCCGAAGTTTAAGCGGTAATGCAATTTGAGCATGAAAAATATTGAGGAAACAATACAGAATTCGTCCGAATGTATCTAGGATAGAAAATGTGGTAAAATATCCGGAAAATATGCCGAAACATTATCCGGATATTGCATACAAATTCCGGGCAAAAATTTAAAATTTTTAATGATTAAAATTATTGAGGTATTAGAAATTCATAGTGATGATGCAAGAATTTATAATTACAAGTTCGAACGGAATAATCAAATCACTAGCAAAATTTGTTAATATCGAAACTTAATAACTACTAATTTTATTGGCATATATTTTAATAATTCCTTTCAAACTATGAGCTGTGACATAATAAAAAAATTATCATGATGATTTATTTTTTACTTTCTTTGAGAAGAATCATCATATTTAACATTACATATTATTAATTTTTATAAGTACTGTAATGTTCAAATTTTATTGTTCATGGAAATATAACCAATTACAGTTAATTCATTGTATAATTCATGTGTCTTAATTTCATTTTTTTCCGTTCCTATCCCATTTTCGTAACAACTTGCAGATCTATTTATTGAAATAATATGACCACCTTCAGCTGCTTCCTCATACAATTTAAAAGCTTTAATTTCATTTTTTCAGTTCCTATTCCGTGTTGATAGTAATATCCAAGATGATATGTTGAATCAATGTCTCCTTCGTCAGATGCTTTCTTATATAATTCAATTGCTTTATTTTCATTTTTTTCAGTTTATATTCCATTTTGATTACAACATCAGGACCCAAGCAATACTGAATAGGTAACAAGAAATAAACGCGTATGAAAGTCTTCCCTTTTTTAGGTAATTTTCGATAATGTTGGTCAGAATTTTATTACTTATTTTAGTAGCTGACTGACATTATCATAATTCCGGCCCTGAAAAAATGCGTAGAGCTAAAAGTAAATTTTTGCTAATTTCCTAATATATAATTATAAATTTATAATAAAACCGATATGGGCAGATATACAAACAAATGCTTTGAAAATACACGTGAATGAAATTCTTTTTTTCTAGTGGTTTGACAGTTCCAGTAGCAATAGTTCCGGTCAAATCTTCTGTAATGATTGGTTGATGGATATGGACTTGCTTATGAGAACGTTACATTTCCCAAGTTTTTGCTTTACTTTTATCCGGTTTAGGTTCCTGGCATGAAGAATTTGAAAATTAGTATTATACTCCAATCAACACAATCGACACGTCTCCGGTACCACTTTATTTCCGATCCCGCCAGAACATCAGACAAGCTAGCAGGTCATCTGTGCCCTGACAGGTCTAGTGCTGGATCGACTAACAGTCTTTTAACATCAAACAAGCTAGCAGGTCATTTGTGCTCCATTACTAGTTTGTGGCTCAACTAACAGTTTTGAATGACGAACCATCTAGCAGATTTTCGCCACGCCACCATTCCCAACTTATTTTCAGTAAAAAAAGTTTTTTACTTTCCTTCTTATAATTGTCATGGAGTGACTTTGCCTTGTCACGCCTCTTAGATTCTTGCTCACTATTCATAATTGTTTCGAGTGATTTAATATATATATCTATCTTCCGTTTTAAAGGTTCTTCGTTAGAAAACCTACTATACACCGCTCCTCAGTTAAAGTAATCGTGAATCTTCAGACATAAGAGATTACACGGCAATCCAAGTCGCGTTCTTTTACGGATTACATCATCGTCATACCGGATCTTATTTTCTTAAAACTTTATTAGTATTATAATAATTATTACACCATAATTTATCATAATATAGACGTAAAATACATCATTTCAATAAAGTATCTATCTAATACTAATCTAACTCTATCAATAATAAAATCATGTGAAATCCGACTTTGATTAGTCTCACCCCCTCTTTTCATATTTCGATCAATACCTTTGTTTTTTTCCCAATTGTTTACCTCTTGACATCTTGGCCAGATAAATTGTCTCGCAAATTCTTTAATATCACAAATAAATTCCCTTATCATATCTCTAAATCTTTTATCAGAAATACCTAAATATAAACGACGATTGATTATATATATTTAATGGCAGGATTTTTCATGAAGCAATTAAAGGCATAAAAATCTTTCATTCAAAATTTGATGAAGTTTAGCGTGATAATTAAATCCAAACCTGAAATCCATGTTGTCTAATTTCTCCTTTAAACGTTCAAACGCAAAATTTGTAATCTGATCGATAGTCGTATCGTTTTCTTTACAAATCCAAATATGCGTCCAGTTTTCATGGGTAAATTTACATCTAACACATCTGCTCTCTTTGTAAATTTCAGGATTTCTTTTATTAAGGATCATTGTAGGCATTATTTCTAAAAAATTTTTAATATTATATGAAGATATCTCCGATTTAAATTCTTTCATAATAATTTGCAGAGAATTTAACCAATCAATTTCCGCTTCATTAATATTCATACGATAAGTTCCATTAATGTCTAATGCTAACCACTCAGCTTTGTATTCTATTTGATTAATATCTCCTCTCGGACATTGTTTAATCATAAAATCTCGCCAAAGCATATTATATTCCCATGTTATACTACACAGTATATCAATCTCGCTCATAAATTGAGTATTATTTTCCATATTTTTCATTACAGCCATCTTACTTAACTTATCTGCCATTTCATTTCCTTTACCCTGAATGACTCTTAACTTTATTTATCCTAATCTCAAATTTATTATCCTCTATGAACTTATGAACGTTCTTCCATAATGATACATAATTAACATTCAATATTCGTCTAGTTGACCATAGAATTTCCTTTTGTAAATAATTCATTCCATCTTTTAATAAATAAGACTTTAATAAAACCTAAACTATCTGTATAAATCTGAATTTTACTCTCCTCTTTAACCGTCATTAACGCTGTTATTATTGCTAATATTTCTAATTCTAAAACTTCAAAATTATCAATGATTCGTAAATGTTCCTCACTTATAATATTATTTATACTATTAAATATCACCCAACCTATACCACAAACGTCACCTTTTTTACTTGCACCTGTATATATAAATTTCTTCTTTTTCTAAATTACTATATCCTTTAATAAAATTCTCTTCCAACATTTGATAACCCTTATACCCTCTAAAATCTTTTCTATAATATTTAACCGACAATCTATATTTAATAACGAGTCTAAATCTTTATCAAGAAATTCTTTTTCAAGCTCATTCCAATAATTCTTAACTACCCTTAAATTTCCATACGCTTCATATACATCCTTAACTAATTCATAACTACTATAAATAAACTTCTTTCGTAACGAAATCTTTAATAAGCTTTTCTTCTAAAATCTGAAACCATTCCGCTGTTATAATTTCCACGTTTTCATTCTATTATCTTCATCAATACATACATTATATTCACCGATTTAGGCTATTACTGGTATTTAAGCTTGTATTTTGCAAGAAATTTTTATAATGCTATATATTATGTTAATTGATAAAATATCTAAACTTTGCATACTATTTGGAAAAATTTTTTTAATCTATCGTGTCCACTTTTCGTCACGTGATAATGTAGACAAAATCATTCTACTAACCAAGCCAGATTGTGGAGTTTGCTTATGACTTGAAGATTTCTGATTACGCTGATCAGAATTAGGATTCGCAGGTCCAGAGCGGGAAGCCTCGAAGCGGGATCGATCACAGGATTTAGAACGTGACCGAGACCGAGAACTATTGGATTTATTAGTGGGTTGATTAAGTTTGATCCGATCACCACATAAAATAAAAGTTTGATCCGATCACAGGGTTTGGCAACAGGATCGCGAGTACGCGAACGTCCTCATCCACCACGAAGAGGGCAAGATTGTGGGTTACATCCCAATTTGCCACATCGGTGACAAAGTTTAGTAGTATTGGCTGGGAGATCCCACTTTAAATTGCGACCTTGGAGAGCGATAATTTGTTCCATCGCAGCATCCAGAAGTTCCTGGGATCATAAAAGTAACATAAGCCCATCTCTTAGGCTTATAGGAATGAAGAGACAATGGTACATTGACAGTGCAAGTGGCGCCAAATCTATATCTTTGGTGTTGGCGGGGAGTTGGTGAGCAGCGCTACAAATTCACGGCGCGATTTCTTATGATCTAAAGAAAAGTGGCCAAATTTGCTTTCTATTTATTTACACATGCCCAATATCATTAAAAATACAGCCATTAACGCTATCTTAACTTTCATAATTCTTCCCAACAAATTATCATTAATATTAACGCAATATATGCAATATAAAATTGTTTTCGATAAAAATCCTTTCTGAAGTGCCTTAATACTTTACAACCAAAAAAATCCTTATCGTGAATAATGCTATTATTTGTATGCGTGATTAATTACATTTATGTTATTAATGAGATTTCTGATTTTGCTGTCTAATCTATCTATTAAAGTTCCAGACAGCACCGTGCACTGAAGTTGGTATTCAATTATTGGAATTACAACTGTATTCCATAAAAATATATATTCCTTTGTCGTTAACTTTTTCCACGCATAATATTTAATATTTTCTTGACTAAATCCTCTATAGTTATATTATGAAATCTAAATGAAGCTGAATTATTAAGCCAAACTCCTAAAAAGCTTACTCTCTTATACTACTACAATTAATCTTTATTGTTACGTCATCTAGAATGTGATCTTCTTCGTTTGCTTCGCTCTTTTTCCCTACTGCTAGCAACTCGTATTTTTTTGGATTAGCTTTGATATCACTTAGCGTCATAGCTTAAAATAAAAACTACTACATATACCATAAAGTTCAATTAACCCTTCTTTGCTCCTGCTAATTAAATTAGCGTCATCCATGAATTCTAAATGATTAATTTTTTCCAAAACTTTGATCATACAACCCGTATTGATATTCACTATTTCATATGCTTCCATATTTCACGCCGTTGTATCTTCATTAACTTGTATAATAAAGGATCAAAGAAGATACGCCACAAAATTGGAGACCATACCTCCCCTTGATCCAATCCGTCATCAACTCAGTATAATGACACTGACAATCACCTTATTTTTCCTATTATAAAAAACTAACTTAACTAACTCAATAAATTCTTCTGATATTCTTACGCCTTAATCATCATATGCTTTAGATATATCCATTAAAAGCATCCAACATTCTTTACTTTTTCAACCTAGCATCTTCTAATAAAGATTGAATTATTTTAAACGTCTCGAAACAACTCTCTCCTTCTAAAGCTGCAAATAAATTATATATTATGATTTTTCATTATCCTTGTCAATCTTTTTGTGATAATCATAAAATTAATTTCCTTGTACATTCTATTAAATGTACAGTAATTGGTCTGGTTAAAGTAATGTCACTACCCAATCTTCTTTCTTTGGAATTGGATATATACTAGTAGCTATCATTCAACCAGTCCTTCGCTAATTCTCTTTTCTTTAAACACATGTTCATCAACTTAACTAGTAATACTTCTTTCATAATTTTTCCACTATGTTTAATAAAATCATACGAATTGCCTGGCGCTTTCCAGTTATTAGTTGTTTCTAATATTTCCTTAAATTCTTCATATTGTATTTCCTCCATCAATGTATCAAATTCCCGTATTTATATCATCTCTCGGTTCATATTCTTTACTCCATTTTCTCCATTCATCAAATCAATCTTACGCTCTCTCGTCCATGATTACGATCTATTTCATGTAAAATCGATTGTTCGGGATTAAAATCACTTATTGTTAATATGAGATCACTTCTAAGAAATTCACCTTTTTTTGCTGCAGCCTTCTGTAGTCATAATTATTTTTGTATTATAGAACCATTTAAATTTATTATATAAAAATAAGTTCTTAGTACTTTTTTTCTTTGATTCTAAAGATCTCCATTAAGCTGGTATTGGTACAATTTTTCCAGTTCTTTAAGCTACTTCATAAACTAATTCATCTAAAAACCAATTAATTTTCCCTTTAACAAGTCCTTGTAAAGCCTTTTTTTTTTTAATTATAATTAAAACAAATAATAGGTTATAAATCCGACTCAAGTTTACGATCTTCTCGGACGGCCGTTTGTAAGCTTCTCAAAAGTTTGACTGACCGATATCGTTCAAGGCTTTCGTAAAGTTGGTCATTTTCACGACCGAATTCGTTATTGATCATTAATAACGTTTGATTCTCTTCTTGTGAACTATTGAATTTTAAGAGATTAAGACTTAAAAAAAAAAATTCAGTTATCTTCTTTTTACCTTGATTTTCACGAAAATGGGTCAATTAATTTACACAATTCAAGATTTATATTTCCCAACTTTATTAACAACTCTATACTTACTACATATAATATAACAGCGGTCCTCTTTTACTATACGTTTTGATTTATGTTATATTTTGTTTGATTCAATTTCCATAGATAGTATCTGTATTTAATTCAATATCTTACATTTTTATGTTTTGTTGCAGATTAATTAATTTAGATAGTGTAATCCTTGTAGTCTAAAAATTAATTCATAAAAATTAATTTACAATATTACTATATTAGCGGTAGTATTTATTAAAATAAAATATAAATGTTAAATAATTGAATTTTTGATGAGAAGTATATGATTTAAAATGGTCTTGGATGATATCTCCCATATATAGAAACACACCAACACTAGGTCATAATTGTATGTTATTGTACGGGCGTGCTAAATAAATGGTATGATGTGGCGCGAAGCGCAAACATCAGAAACAATTTGAATAGCAAAATTGTACCAATATAATTTATTGAAATTATCATTTATTATTAATAATAATTTCCCAAGAATGAGGGAATATTTTGAATTCATATTATTGTATAAACAAAATGAACAAATTAGTATATCAAGATCGATACAAAATATTAGATACCATAAATTTGGATAATATTTTTATGAAAATTAACTTTATACAATTTTATCTATAAAATAAAAAAGTACCATTCGTAATAGAATACAGCTTTATTTACCTCATTAACAATTTTTTTTATAATAAACATTGTTTTTAACCCGATTTAATGCAACGACATTATTCAAATTTTTCTCCCAAGTAGTTTACCAAATCCTCCATAACTTTATATATTCAATATTTTTTTAAATTCACAATTTATATAATCATCAGCAACGCCATTCTCAATTGCCATTTTCCTAAAAGAATTTTTGAATTTAGGCAACAAAAAAAATTCCGAACCAATGTATAGAATAAAGCTGCGCCTCATACTGGACAAAGAGCTTATCTTTTCTTTATGAAAATAGTACATTTTTGCGTATGAACCAGAAAAGTCTATAAGAGGCTTTAAGCAAATTATGTTTAAAATTTTGGCGAATATTCTGCAAAGGTCGTTAACGAATGCTTGCCGCAATACTAGTTATTAAAATACAGGGATTGTTTTTATATACAATCTGTATCAACAGGATAACTAAAAATGGTATAGTTTCTGTCTCTTCATATTAAGTATCAATATTCCTTCTTATAAATTAAATTTATCGAGATGGTCCGCGTAATTTCAGAAATTTTTAATTTTTTTGAAACAAAAGAGGCTATAAATATATTAATTTTTTAAAACAAGATAAAAAGATATTGTTGCTTCTTAATAATAGTAATAACGTTTCAAATAAAATATGGTTTAAAGTTTCTGCCGGGACGCTCGGTATAATTGATGCCGATAACTTGTAGAGTTGTCAGGTTTCCAGGTTGTCGGCAAAGAGAAACAAGTAACAAACGTGCTAGTTTATGAAAAATAATTAAGGACCTAAATTTTTTTATTGAATAATATCCCCATGAATATTTATTGATTAACCGTTATAATCCTATATAGCGTAATTTAAAAGAAATAAAGAATATTTGAAATTATAAGAAAATGATTTTAAATTTAATTTTATTCCTACAAAATTTAATATCTAATACTATGTATACCCCAGAATAATATATACTATGTATACCCCAGATTAATATCTAATAAATAATACATAAGGGTGATGTTACAAAATGTTCGATAATAACTATATATTCTTCTAACGTAATTTACATTACGAATCTAATTTACATTACAGATAAAGAAATTCCTTTTTAAATATTACTCTCAAAATAATACTAAATAGGATAAATAATAACTTATTAGTTTCTCTAATTAAACTTTTTTTATGCACAATCCATACGGTCTAATATCCCTTTCATCAGGTACGACCCAATAATCACAATCTTCAATCTTTACCATTCCTTTAGGGTTAACTCTATTTTGAAAAACTACCTTATAAACAACACCAGAAGTAGATTTAAATTCAGTAGCATATTCTTCAGCTATATCAATATCAGGAGTTGAATAAATTCCTTTTCCATATTTGAATCTTTTTCCTTTCTTAAGCAAATAACCTTTATCAGCGATAGAATCAACAAAATCTTTCCTAGTACCATGATAAGAAACTGGCCATTCATCAGATTTACCGGAACTACCCAACCATTTCTCATCATAACCATATTTACCAACGTTAAGTGCAATTCTATTCCATCCATAAGGTCTTTTGTATAACTCTTTTCCACGAGTGTGAATTTTTCCATCATCAATTAAATTTGAGAAATCATAATCATATTTAGGGCTTAAAAAATCTTTCTTGATAACATAAAAATTAAAACCTCCATAAGCACGAAATAAAATTTGTACAGTATTACCTTTTCGAATATTGTAAGATGAAAGAGTTTTATTATCATCCAATTGTTTATCAGCAAATACAAGACGTAACGGTCTGATATCATAACCGAGCTCCCTTTTAATAGCATATTTTAATTCAAGGACAGTAGTATGTGGATATACGAGCATTGTATGACTTCCTCCAGAAAGAGGGTTGACAAAAATTTGAAAAGGTTGACTAATTCGACGTACTATAATTCTGCTTGGTGAATTATTATTGTTTACAATAATTGGGAAATATAAATCATCATCATCATTATTATTATTAGGGAATTTAGAAGAAAGGTTATCCCCGTATCTATTTAAAGAACTTTCATGAATGCGTCCAATGTCTAAAAATTGTTCAGGAGGAATTTTTTTCCAACCTTTAGCTAAGCATTCATCATAAGTTTTTACAGGAACATTAATCATAGAAGAAATTGCAGAAGCGACAAGTTCTAATTTAGACATGTTTTTTTTTTCGTAACGAAAAAAAAAAAATTAATTTTTTATTTTTTTATATTTTAAAGTTTATAATTTATATTTTTTATATTTATAATTTATACAAAATTCAAGTTTTTAAACTTGTTTCTAACAAAAACAAAAAATAGATTGTCAAACTACAGGGGGCTGAACGCAAGGTCGTACAAAAAATTCCCATACTTTCTTGTTAAAGAAAACCAATTTTTAACGGTAAATTATAATAACAAACGACCTTTTCAAATTAAAAAGAATTAAAGATTTATCAATTCGGAATAGACGATAAAAAGTTTAATTTATTTTAAATTTTATTATTCATTGTTGACTTAGCGTTTGGGTAAAAAATTTAAGATATAATCCGATGTTTAGATAATTTAGATAATGAAGAATAGGAGACAAATTATAAAGAGCTTCGGTTTTATATAATTAATAAAGAAAAGAAATAATCCAACCATGATAAATGAACACCATATGGTTATAAAAGAATTTTCTAATTTGTCGCCTAAATGGAAAAAAATGAAAGTATTACCGAATAGAGTAAAAAAACAAAAAAAAAAAAGGTTTGTAGATCTGATAATGATGATAGGTTAAAAATATTTCTGGAAAAATTAGGTGTCAAAATAACCGGTCTAAATCGAAAATCGATGCAAAATTCCTGATGATCATAATCATATGATTATTACATTTATATTAGTAAATTGTTTCATACAAAGCAATATCGGGCAATACAGTATGCATAAGAATACGTAATCCACGATTTGAATTTTTTTATTTTTAATATGGTCCGATATTCTGTATTCGTACCGGACAAATAAATATACTTTTGCAAAATTTGTTTTCTATCGAATTGAAAATTTTGTAGATATATTTAATTTTTTTCTTTTGTTCCGGACGATCCTTATACTGTATTAATATCATTGAAATATTTCCTCAAATTGTAGTTATTAAAATCACGTGATTTACAAATGGCCCTTTATTACTTTATAAATAATTATTTGTGATCTATTACATAAAAATATCATCATCATATTATCATAATATTACAGGTTATCATAATTCACTATTCCCCGTTTCTCACTTGAGTATAACGTGAATTAAAACCCATAGCATCCCGAAGTTTTAAATATTGATTTTTTCCGATTGGCTGAACGGGATAAGCGACCCACCAGTTGACGCCTTCTGAGCATGGAGGCGTGGTAAGACTTCCAAAATAGTTATAAGTCTAACGTAATTTTTCATAAGAGATATTGTAAATGATAATTCAATTTTTGTAATAAAAATAAATTATTAATTCTTACCGAGTTCATCCAATTAATATCTTCTATTACTGAAGAAAGTTTAATAAAATCGATCGTTTTTTTAGCATTTTCATCAGGAATCTATATGTGAAAATAACAATAAATATTAAATAATTGAACTAATCACGTGAAATGTAAGGAAAATATTCGCTTACATTGTAAATAATTGGATCAAAAAATCTATTTCGTCGATCGGAAACATCATAAAAGACTCCGATAACAGAAAGGTTGTCTTTTGTATCAGTGAAAACAAAATGAGCTTCAACGTCATAATATTTTCCATTAACACGATGTTCAGAAGGGGTATGAAAATGAAATTGTAATAAATTATATTCATTATCTTTAATTTTCAATTTGGCGTCCAAATTTTTTGAAATTTCAATAGTATGACCCTTATTTTCAATGACAACATCATGAGCATCATGAAATTCTACATCATCAGGTTTACTAAATTTTATAAATTCATTGTAAGGAATATCAATTGGTGATTGATTTTTTCCCTTAAGACACGTTTCGTTGAAATTACCCCAAAATGCTGGTCCTGTAGTCCCGCTGTAACTAAAATCAGCTGCAAAAATTGTTGATATTTGAATAAGTGAAAAGAAAATAACGAAAGTTAAAAATAATTTCATCATTAGATAATTTTGTTTCTTTTATAAAAAATAATAGTTTCTTTTCTTTTTTTTTTTTTTTGATATGAACTTGTTATGAGGCTAAATCTCATATTTTATATTGTTTGACTGCCCACCGGACTTTCCTAATTTGATATGCCATAATGTAAGGGGTTAGTCCATAGCTGACGTTACACATTTCCTTTTTGGAAATCAGTAAAGGCTTAAATGCCGACAAGTATGTTACAATTGACCTAGAGAGGGGAATTAACTTCATTTCTGACCATCATCTTAGCTTTCAATTTAAATTTGTGTCCATTTTAAGCTTTTAAATGCATTTTTAATTTCATTATTCTCTTCCCTTATTAATATTTATAAAGAATTTTTAAAAGTAATGATTTTCAGTTTAATCATGAGAAATTATACGGGAAGTTATAATGTAGAAATTATTAAATTACAAGGTAGACGGGAGAAAAGCCCGAAAAAAGTGAGCTATGTGAGGGTATGAAGAAATTCCCGAAAAGTCCCGAAACTTGTCCCGTTATGGTCGCGCGCACATGTATCTTGCCGAATAACACATAGTTATCACGTGATGTAAATGGGACAAATAAATTTCGATCGGGAGCAGCGCCTCAATCCGCCTCATCCCTTTTTATATAAATTATACTTCATTGAGATCGACCAAATTCGATCATTAATTTAATAATCTGCTGAGCACATGTACTAAGTGTTTAATAGAATGAAATTCAAAAAACTATACACCAATTTTCAAAGGTAGACAAGGGAATTTAGGATTAGATTTAGGGTTAGGTAAGGAAATTAGGAAATTAGTGTTAGGATTAGGGTTAGGATAAATGAATTAGGACAAAACTGTCGGTGAAATGAGCCAGACCCCTAAGAATGATAAATTGTTTCGATATTACAGTACGTAAAATAACGTAAAATAACGTGATGTGAATTTCAAATTCTTGTTTAATTAAGGGAAATTCATTATATGGCATTTTATTGTAATTTAAGCAAAATTTTTATTGCATATATAATACAATATAAGAAACAAACGTGAAAATTTCATGTATTCGGACTTTTCGCCAAAGTTCATTTCGCCGAAGGGACATTTCGCAGAAGATATATAATTTTTTTACTTTTTTTTTTTAAGAAAACGAATTATTATTTATACATAAAATAAGATAAAAAAAAATCACATATTCATCAATTTTTCGAGCATTTTTTATTTTCTTTGTATCGAAATTGTTAATGATTAAGGAAATATGTTAATCACTAACATTTTTGACGAAATGTTCTTCGAAGAAATGGACGATTCGGGGAAAAGGATATGGCGAAATGTACTTCGGTGAAGCGTACCGTACCAACAAAACTATATCCCTGTAAAAAAAGTTGATCCGCTTTTTATATTCCGTCTTTTTTCCATAAAAGGATCATATTTCCGGAATTAATACGGAATTTATCAAATTATTTACATTTTCCGTGAATGGATCCGTAAAAAGGCTCATTTTTACGGAGTTTTTACAGAAATAACGGATAAAATATTTTATAGGGTATAGGTTATCTAACCATTAGATTAGTTAAATTTTTTTTTTTTTTTTATCAAAATTAATATTCATACATGAAGATAGTCCATATTTGTTTGAATGTCCAAAATTGAACAACAACTCTCTTCCCAATTATTTTGGTAATAATTAGTCTTTATGAACTATTCCTACAAAGTTACGAAGCATTAACTAGTAATTTTCTAGTATTTTACAATTAAAATCTCATCTATATATTGATTTTACTATTAATCGGCGTGTATTATATATATACTGACATATACACAGTGAAATTCGATATAATGGAACCATCCGTTCCATTAGTAAAATTTGTCAAAAATCCGTTATATCAAGAATTCCGATATATTGAAGGTAAATTAATTGTACGTTATAATAATCCCGTTCCGATATATCAAGATTTTACTCATAATCCGTTATATCAAGGTCCCAGTATATCGAATTTCACTGTGGATATATAACGAATAGCTTCGTAACTTTGTTTATAAAGTCGTATTAATGAATTTTATATAATTTATTTCTAAAAATGCAAAATAGTAAAGCTGTACATCTAATTTACCAACATGGGTATATAAATCAAACGCCGGTTAAAATAATACGTTTTGAGAAACATAAAAAGACGCCAGAAAATTATTTTTAGATGAATTAAAGAGAGAATGCGACAAAAAGAAGAAATTAAATCGGAAACACCCATTTTTATGTTGGCATTTTCGTTATACGAAAAAAAAAATTCAATGTCACAAAAAGGAATATGGAATTTTAAAATGAGGAGCGATGAATAAAACCATATAAAAAATTTTTATCCGAATATTTCCATTATTTCTCCATGTCTTTCGTAAAAATTCCGTGAAAATGATACATTCACGGAAAAAACATGGAAAGATAAAACACGGATCAGATTTTTTACAGGGAAAAGAAAGAGCTTGGAAAAGAACCCTAAGACGTGCGCAGATAAATTATTATCCGATAAAAAATCTTTATATAATAAAACATGGTTTTGAAGTTGACTGTCCGCCCCAATATTTTCATAACACAAAAATATTTGAAAAAATATAAAGGTTTAGAAATTTAACTATTTAGTTAACGCTAATATAAACAAAATTTTATGTGAGATGCTATTTTGCCCATCACAACTATCGTGCCGCAAAAATTTACGCCAGATCATCATTTGAATTTTGTGAAAAGTTACACTGCGTATAGTATTATGAATAAAAAAAAAAAAGTTTCAAATTATCCCTTTTGAATAAATAAAGAAAAATGACAAGCACTTCAAATACAGATACGAATAAATGGATTAAATGGATTGAGAACGGAATTGCTGAAGAATATATTAATTACCATAATTATAATGAATTTAAAAATGTTCAACGTATTGGTTTTGGTGCATTTGGTAATGTTTATCGTGCTGCTTGGGAGAGTTCTGATACCGTTGTCGCATTAAAATCTTTTGAAATTGATAATTGTATTATGAAAGAAGTTGTTAATGAGGTAGAAAAGTATACAATTAATTATTAGCAATATTTTATTGTGAATAATATAATAAAAAATTTTTCTTTTTTCATTTCAGATAAAATTATTGCATAAAGTTAATTTTCATATGAATATTATTCAATTTTTTGGTATCACTAAAAGACAAAGTAAGTATTATTTATTAAAAATGATTTTTTTAAAGAATAAATTATAATTATATTTGATAAATTAATTTATTCATTTTATATAGGTAATTTAGATAATGAAAATTATATAGATTCAAATTTTTTACTTGTTCTTGAATACGCTGATAGTGGTACATTGAGAAATTATTTGAAAGTTAATTTCCATAAATTGGATTGGAATATTAAATTAAAATTTGCTATTCAAATTGCTGATGCAGTTTCGTCTATGCATAAAAAAAATATTGTTCATCGTGATCTAGTAGGTTTATGTTTTATTTCTATTTTATTTTATTTATTTTTTTGATTAATTTATTTTTAATTAAAATATGTTAATTGGACTTGTTATAATTTATTATAAAATAGCATTCGAATAATATTTTGGTTCATCAGAATATGATCAAATTAATAGATTTCGGACTTTCACGTAGGCTAGTTGAAGTAACAAATACCCAAAATAAACTTGTTGGATTAATCTCATATATTGATCCACAACTTTTTAAAAACCAATCAAATAGTAATTATAATTATAAGAAATCAGACGTGTATAGTGTTGGCGTACTTTTATGGGAAATATCGTCTGGACGAAAACCGTTTGAATCTTATAATGATGATTTTCAACGAATAGCGCTAATATCAGAAATTTTAAATGGAAAAAGAGAAACTCCAATTTATGATACACCAAGTGATTATATTAATATTTATACAAGTATGATTATTTATTTATTGTATTTTTTTAATGTATTCATTAATGTAACCATTAATTATGATTTTTTTTAATTTTATAATTTTTTCTAGAATGCTGGAAAGATAATCCAGATGATAGGTCAGATATGGAACAGGTATTCTCTGAATTAAAATTAATTAATTTGAATATAATAGAAGACAATGCAATGGAACTTGATGAAGATCCAAATAACAATAAAGTTATTATTAATATTATTAATGAATTGTTATTACTTCATGATAAGTTTATTCAAATAAGAAAGTGTGAAGAATCTTACTATATTCAATTAGCCAAAAGTTATATAGCATCAGAAAACAAAGATGAAGAAGAAATATTCAATTATTTATTAGATAATATGGATGTACTGCAGAATATTTTTCTTTTAGCAATTTTTTTTCATTATGGAATAGGAACTAATAAAAATGAAATCGAAGCATTTGATTTATATAAAGAAGCAGCTATAAAAGGAAACATTGATTCAATACAACAGCTTGGACTTTGTTATCAGTATGGAATAGGAACTAAAGAAAATAAAATTAAAGCATTTGAATTATATGAAAAAGCAGCTGAAAAAGGAAGTATTTCTTCAATAAATCAACTTGGAATATGTTATCAAGATGGAATAGGAACTAAAGAAAATAGAATTAAAGCATTTGAATTATATAAAAAAGCAGCTGAAAAAGGAAATATTTCTTCAATAAATCATCTTGGAACATGTTATATGAATGGAATAGGAACTGAAGAAAATAAAATTAAAGCATTTGAATTATATAAAGAAGCAGCTGAAAAAGATGATATTGTTGCAATGAATAAACTTGCATGTTGTTATCAGTATGGAATAGGAACTGAAAAAAATGAAATTAAAGCAAGTGAATTATACAAATTATGTGAGGAAGCATTTGGTATTATTCAATAGACAGCTGTGGAAGTTTTTATCAAAATAGTATAGAAACTGAATGAAATAAAGTTAGGGCATTTGAATTATACAAAGAAGCAGTTGAAAGAGATTATAATAATCTTGGAAAGTGTCAATCTTTCAATGTAGAAATCTGAAAAATATGAAGTTTTTAATTAATTTACAATAAGTTATAGGATGTATAATAATATTTAATTAAATTATTGCATTTATTACCTACTAATAAGAACTATGTTAAAGTACTTCAATAAAATCTGTTGAAATATTTTGTAAATTTAATTTTAAGATATATATTTACTATTAGTACCATTTCTATATTACTATTTGAAATAAATGTTACGTGATTATAAAAAATTTAAAGACTCAGGCCTTTAGAAAAGAGCTGGTCTATTTACTTAAATTTAAACTTTATAATCTTGCATAATCCATTTATTTATAAATTATAAATTATTGGATTATTATGAGTTTGTTAATGTTAATGACTTATTTCCATTAATTTGTTGCCTTTTCTCCTCTAGCATTATATTTTTAGGGCATTGAATATAATAATAGATTCTTAGATTCTTTACATAAGAATAATAAATTATTATATTTCAAAGAAGTTAATAATGGTTCAATCAAGTAATTTAAAAAAAAGAACTACCTTATCTTCCAAGTCAAAATCTCGTTCCAAGAATACCTATTCCTAAAATAAACAATAGAAGAATTGCTACTAACATTTCTATAATGTAATTTTTAAAAAAAACATTGGGTTGAAATCTATAAAAAATTTTTCAGAAAAATGATCACGTGTCTGAGTTTCTTTGGTTTCTTCGGAATATAAAGAAAAATGATCATTTATCGGAGTTTATTCCAGAATTTTTTTTATAGGGCAAGTAAGCCTATTCCTGAAAAGTATCTTTCCAGCATGTACAGTCGTTTTATAATAAATATGTTATTTATAATTTAATAAACTCCGATTTATCTTCCAAGTTCAAGCCAACCTTCGTTCCAAGAAAGGTCAGTCCGTTCCTAGAATAAGCGAACGTTTACAAGAATAAAATTTTTTTAAATGGCGATAGGTTATCCGTGATCTATCTGGATCAATCCGATCCGGATTTTAGGATCCGTTTATCCGGATGGATGAGTAGATGATCCATATCGCCATATACTGTAAATCAAAGTTATGTTTTATTATATCCCATCATTATTGACAATTATTTTCTTTGATGATTTGCGATTAAATGTCATTTTTAGCTATTTGGATTTTCAGATTTTTTTTTTTTTGATATACATACATCTTCAGCAATTTGAGAAAAAAATTTCCAGACAACCTAATCAAAATCAAATTGACAAGGCATCTTATTAGAAAATTTTTTATTTGATAAACCAGAAATGAAACACTTAAATGAAGACTAAAATAGTTTTGTTTAAAAAAAACAACGGAATTACATATATCTTTTAAAGTGTTATTTGTAGATTGCTAAAACCATAATACGGATCAACATTTTACAGGTAGTTAATAAAAATGAAAAAAAAAAATCATATGGGAAAAATCGTTAAAAAATTACGAAAAATTGTTAGACCGATGAATTCTTTGAAAAAATTTTTTATATGAAAACAAAAAATTAAATGAATTATTTAAATTCCGACTGCAAATAGATACTATTAATTTTTATGGTCAACTATAGAAAGATTTTTAAATATTTTGGCTATAGAAGAATTGCGTTAGAAGTTTTATCGAAATTTTATTTCGCAAAAAAGTATTTGTAATTATACAATGCACAAGAATATAATAAACTAGACATAATGCGTCATTAAATTTGAAAGTTCGAAATGCGATTTATTATACATTTTTAAAAATTACAAGCAGTTTTAAATAATAATAATACTGATAATTTATTGAGTCAAAAAAAAAAAAAAAAAAAAAAAAAAAAAAAAAAANTATATAATCATAACCTCATAAACTTAAGATTGAAGTATAAAAAATAATAACGAAAGGGGAAACATAAGAAAGGGAACCGGAACTTAAAAGAAACTTAAGGTTTTAAAGAAGAAATTATGAAAGGTCATGAAAAAGGTCAAAATAATATTCAAGGTTACTAATATTTTAATCTCCCAAAAAACGAAAATTTATGGGAATGAAGAACCGGTAAACAATTGTTTTGCTAATGGTAATTGGCTCTGTGGTACAGCTCTAATCAAAACTGGATTACGTAATTGGACTAATTGGACATTATTCCAATTTGGAATCTGGTTCAAACGCATCCTGATACGTTGGTACCTTCTTAACCTCCTTTGTCGTAAAGAAACCATGGAAGCCTTAAAGTCTAAATAAGACTATAAAAATCGTCGACGAAATATTATGAGAACCTTACAAAAAGTCTTAGATTTATATTTAAAATGTAATAATGTATGTATTTTTTTAGTTTTTTTTTTTAATTTTTAAATTTTTTTTTATTTTTTTACAAAAAAATGTAGTTTGAAAAATTTGGAAAAAAGGGTGAAAAAATAAGGAAGAATTATATGCGTATTTATAATAAGATAAAAATAACGAAATAAATTCTAAGAATTACCATATTCCTTCCTTTGTTTGTATTCTTAAAAAAAAAAAATAAATAAAAAATATTTTATATTACAAACATAACGGTAAACGACAAACATATGACATACTAATTGAACCTTTAGTTACAAAAATAAATAAATAATAAACTTATACATAACTGATAAGATAGTGTTTTTATTAAAAAAAAATAAAATGAAATGAAATAAAATAAAAAAAAGAAAATGATTTATATACCACAAATATTAATATTAATAATAAATAATGTATATATATCGCTTCTATTGATCAAGCTTCTGTTTTATGTGTAACTTTTTTGTATTCTTTTTTTTTATTTATTAAAAGAGGTAAATTGTATATTCCATAGCCACAGTAAAATTTTATATAAACAAATAACAATGAATTCTATTTTTACCAAAATTAAATTAATATCAAGGATTTTAAGTCTGGAACTTCTAAGTTCTAAGTGAAAACTAAAAATTATTAATCTTTAGTTACCATAAAAAGGAAAAGGTAGGAAAAAATCGGAAATTTATTGACATTAGTCATTCTTTCAATCAAACTTTATTGATTCTCAAAAAAAAACTATTTACCCCTTAGAATTATACTGTCAAAAAATGTCAACACTCGGTCCAACTCGGCCGACATAAATATGACCAATCAAATTCATATTAAGAATTTAAGAATTTAGGAATGTCCCTGTCAAAAATGACATGTTGATTGTTTAACAAACAAAAGCGCCAATTATAAATAAAGAAGATTCTCTGCATAGACGAGCTGTCAAAGTTGTCACATAAAAAAAATATTAATTATTAAGCATAAAATCATAATTATTGCATTGTTATACCATGTGGAGATAATTAGGTTAACTTTTTGAACCTCATGAGGATTGGGCATTTTTTAAACCTATCGAGAAATAGAAAATAACGAGCTTTTCTTTTTTAAGTAAATATTACACTTACAAGAGGATTGGTCATTATTAATTTATTATTTAATTATTATTTAAATATGGATTCGTATTAAAAAAATAAAAATAAACATTAAAATTTTCATAAAATACTAGTGGTTAACTATTAATGTGGCTTATCGGCAGATATTGCCGTATCAGGAGGTACTGTGATTGCTAGACGTTATACAATTCATTACGCATAGGTGTTTTAAAAAATAATAATAAATACGATCGGCTGTTAACGAACTTAGAAAATGAGCCCTTTGTTTTAAGAAAATTCGTTAAAATTATACGAAAATATTCAATAGTATCGAGTTTTGAATACTATATTATATCGAAAAAAAATTTTAAAAACTTTTTTATTTTTGTGTTACTTCAAAAAAAAAAATCATTTTATTATGCTAATGTCTTCCTATTACTGTGTACAACGTAAAAAACAAATTAGCTGATTAATAAGAGTATCATTTTTCATGTTAAATTTTTCATAAAAAAAAAAACCGCTGCTTAAACGCTTCTTTGATTTTCTGATCATTTTGATCATTTTTAATTATTAATGTTTTGAATTCAAAATCAGCGGTTATATAAAATATAAATTTCGGTATAGCAAAAATTCACTATATAGCATCATTTTATATAAATTGTTAATCCAAGGCGAGATTTGATATTACCCACTTTAATTTTTCTCCGATTGGACAAATTTTTTTTCGTTTTTTTTAAAAAAAAAAAATTCTGCAGCAATAACACTTTTTTTTTTAATAAAAAATAATTAAAAAAATAAATGAAATGTATTCGATACATACACTTATTTTAATAAATAAACTTCAAAATATATGATTTTTAAAACAGTTATAACATTTTTCAATTATTTATATTATTTATTTTTACCGGAATTCGTAATAATACAAAAAAAGGAGAAATCTGATAATGACAAAAGAATTAATGAAAAAGTTGGATGAAGCCACAAAGTTAAAGTTATCAAGGAACAAAACCCCTCGCAAAATAAGGAATAAAAAAAGAAAAATGTACCTTTAACCAAGTATTATTTTCTCCGAAAAATAAGGAAAAAGGAAATTAAAATTAATACCAAATAAAATAACGAGAAAAAAGAAAAAATATATACCAAAGGAAAATATATGATGAAAAAATTAAGAAAATAAAGAACGAAAATAAAGTGAGATAAAGAGAACGAAATAGAAAGGAATCAAGAAGAATAAAAATAAAAAAGGGAGATAAAAAAATACAGTAAAAGGATGAAAAACCATTCCATAAAGAACAATAAAGAGTTAAAAGAAATGTCGCTAAAGAAATCTCAAAGGGTGCGTTTTAACGTAATTTGAATTTTCACGTGATTGGGAGAAATATTTAGCCACCAAGTTCGGCCATCTGATAATATTATTATCTGGGCTTAGTTCCACCTTCACAAATGCGTCAGTTATATGAATTATCTCAAACGAGAGCGGGTGAATAATTCACTCCGGTTATGAATAACTTTTCTCTTTTTATACAGTATTAACTTAATTAATAAATTTGGTGTAATAAAATTTTTTTGTTAATTATACGCATTAGTACACAGCGAAATTCGATATAATGGAACCATCCGTTCCATTTATACCGAGGGTAAATTAATTGTACGTTATGATAATCCGTTCCAAACCTCAATTCCGATTTTACTTATGATCCGTTATATCCGGTATATCGAATTTCACATTGTGTATTTGGTTTACTGTAAAATTTATTATGATGAGACGGTATATTATACAACAAAATATAACCTACATCACACGTTTAATATTTCGATATGTGGTCAAACAATTTGAAATTACATAGGCTTTACGGGGACTATTGTATTGATCCAAAAGTTAGATGTCAAGAATGATACGATCGTGCTAAATAAATGTATAGCTCTGAAAAACAAAAAAATGGCTTTTAAAATGAAAGGTTTAAATCACATTTTACCCTGTGGCGACATTATGGCCGCTCATTTTCCTGCGCTTTACAATCAATCTTTGCTTCCTATTCGATGCCCCGTCTGCAGAACCGATACCGATACAAATCAATATAAGTTAGTTTGTATGTGTAATTTATGAAATGAGTGCGGTAAATTACTCTATTATGTATCGAACTCAATTCGGTAAAAATGCAAAGAAAGACAATATTGTAACGAATTAGTAAAAGATCAAGCAAATAATATAATTCTAAAATATAATCAATCAATAAGATAATCTTTTTTGGTGAATAGTGATAACTAAATAAGAGGACTTCGTTCATTCATAAGTAAGATTTGTCAAAAAAAAAAAAAAAAGATAGAAAATTAGAATTATTAACATTAGAAATATGAGATTGTAATCATCCAATAATAAAGTAATTTATTTAATGTAACGCATTTATACTTTATAGTGGTGTTAAAAATTATGAGTTTATTTTATGTTTTATTAAAGAGATTAATGAATTTGAAATCAAAAATTTGTAATAAAGTCAAAAGAAAAAAAAAAGAATACCAATTTTCTGCGACTATATGCAACTACAACTACGCACCTCTTTCAACCTAGTTTCAAATTTTGCAAATGTTATGAATATTTTTTGATCCATATGATCTTCACCTAGTACTTCAATGGCTTGACTAAGAATCTTTCAACACTTCTCTATGCATAAAACAATAGATACTTATTTAAGTAAATTATTCTTTAAATTACTATAGGATAAAAAAGAGATATTCACCCAAATTATTCTGCTCCCCTATTTCAGCCAATTCTTTGGTTCTGGATGTACATTAATGAACCTCTCACAAATTGCTCTTGCTCTATCAATTTCTTTGTATCTTTTTTCCATTTTTATATAAGCATGGATATTAATATATATAAATGTTGCATAAAAAACTAATTCTTTGATTATTAGCTTTCCCCCATATTTCAAAATCAATATCAACTATGAATCTTTTGTCAATGTCATTACCCAAAATGAGACAATTTACCATCATGATGTCAGTTGTTTAAAATGAAATGGAAAATTCTAGATTTACCATCATATCCTGGGTATTTTGATTATTTGTATCAATAAAATCAATATGTTTGAATGAACTCATAATTAATTAATGATTAGTTAATAAAGAAGCTTTTATATAAAAAAAAAAAGTTCAATAAAAAAGTAAAACTTAAACTACTGTACTTTTTCATGTTGTAATTAAAAAAATAATTCTTAAATATAAGAAATAATCTACAAATAGCAATACATAATTATGCAAGTATTGACATGGACTGACATTAATATAAAAAGTTAGCCAAAATAAGAAGTATACAATATGTGTTTATATTTACTTAGTAATCAAATTTCACATTTGATGTAAAATGATTCCAATTTTCTACTAACAAACTAATTTTGTATATTATTTTTTTTAGTAAATTAATTGATATATAACACAAATTATTTGACATATCATTACTCTGCTTATATACATTATATTGGCACAAGAAACACTAATTTCTCATTATTAATCAATTGAAATATAGTATGACAAATATTATCTTTAATTATTCTTATAAAGTAAAAAAAAAATAATATGTTTTTTAGTATACGTGCATTGTTGCATAATTATGCATTATGTATTTTAAAACAACAAAGTTTAAGTCATACTATCTGTAGATTATTTTTTTATATTTAAGACTCATTTTTTAAGATTTTTTTTATAAACTTTTTATGAACTTTTTATGAACCTTTTTTATGAAGTGCAAGAAGAGGAGTAACTAAAAGCTTACAGAATTAATGAGTGGGATTTGTACAAATACAAGAAGTCCCACTATTGGCAGATCGAGCACCATCGACAACATTTTGCTAATATAACATCAAGTGAGATTTGATTATGAATTGGGAGCATCAAGACTCCTAGAAAAGAAAAGAAAAAAGAAGATGCATTATGACAATTGAATAAGAACTAATATACAATGATTGAATGAAACAGAAAGGAAAAAATTACATGAATTGGAGCAAATATTGACCCAATTGAATACTGTACGGCCACGATGAACACGGAATTGTCTTCGTCGTGAAGTTGAATTTGTTGGTGAATGTGTTGGTGTTGATTGAGTAGTTATGTTGGATAATCTTATTGCGAAGGTGATTGTAGAAATTGTAAGTGAAGGTTTAGTTTCAGTCTGAGTAGTTGGATAATCTTGTTGCGAAGGTGATGTAGAAATTGTAAATGAAGGTTTAGTTTCAATCTGAGTAGTTGGATAATCTTGTTGTGAGGGTGGTGTAGAAATTGTAACTGGTAAATGAAGATTTAGTTTCAGTAGAATTATCGTAAGGTGGAGGAGGTTCTTCATCTTCAACAGTTTCTACATTTTCATCCCAAGTAGAAACATCTTTTTTCTTATGATCATAGACATTTTCATCATCATCAATATCATCGTAACCATAATGTTGTCTCATTGAATGACCTCTAGTATTTAATGTATTTCCAGTTAATATTTTTATAGCATAAGTGGCAAAAGCGGAAGTATAGGTAGTAAGTTCTACACTTTATAATAGAAGCATTCTTAAGTTCTAAGCTATCCTAAAAAATGTTTGGGTATCTAACGAATAAAAAAGAGAGAAAAAGACACTTTTTTTCGTCATAATAAAGCAGTCTAGAATTTTGAATAAAATAAAAAGGGACTAGGGTTCATTTTTTAATGAAAAGTTTACTATCGAATCGTTTTTTAATTTTAATTGATCGACAAATCACCTGATAACTGATCACAAATCATATCGGACAAAAAATAATTTCTCTTTCTTTTTTCATCTATTACTGTATTTGTCGTTGGTTACTCTTAGAAATAAAATAAATAAATTCTCTTTCTGATTTTTATTTATAGCGTTAATTTTTAAAAAATTATTATTATGTTTCAAAGGTAAAATTCCACGTTAACGTGATTTGTAATCACATGTATAATAATGCTACAGTACAATATAAACTCATTATTCTGATAGTAATGTATAAACGTAGCAAACATGAATATAAAAATTCTTGGTTCTTCGTATATATCAAATTTAATACTTTTTTTTTGCAATAACCAATTTTATTATTATTTAGGATTACTGCTTATTATTAAATAATAAATTATTTGAATAGATTCATGGGTACTGTATGTAGTGAATCAAAATTTTACGTTGGTTATACATTTATTGAAACTTCATAAATTCTTTGATTAAATCTGATAAATACCGCGACGTTAGAAAGAAAAAAGTTAGAATTGTAATTATTTCTTGTATCACTTTTTTATTTTACTATCTGTATTTTTTTTTTTACATAATTAAAATTACTTACATTATAAAAAAGAATTTTCAATAAAATACAAAAATTAGTGATATATTCTAGAGGAAAATTATTGGTAATAAGTTTAAATAAATAGTTGCGCGTTTGTAGACTTTGTAAGAAAAGAAATGTACTGATTTAATACATTAATACTCAAGATGCAAATTAATAATAATGAATTAAAGCATATTATAATCTTAATAAGAATAATACTAATAAACAAAAGTCGGATTAAAAATATTTGTAAGATGATAAAATTATAAATATAATATAAATTTTATTTTACCCGAATTAATAAAATAGATTTATTTAAAAGAAAAAAAGGGAAATAAATGTTGTACTAAAAAAAATAGTAATAGCCGTGTTTTCTGAACAATAGGATAAAGGATAAAGTCCGTAAAATATCTAAGAAAGATAAAAAAAAACGTTAGTATGGTTGATACCAGGTAGAACCATACTCCATAAAAAAAAGCCTCAGAAAAGTGTTGGTATCATGCTACCAAGTGATCCACCTAGAACTTGCACAATAAAGATTATCTTTTTTTTTATTTTTATTTTTTATTTTATTTTATTTTTTATTTTTATTTTTTATTTTTCATTTTCATATTTTTGTTACTTTTTTTTTATTTTTCATATTTTTTGTATTTTTGTCTTGATTTTTCATATTTTCATCATTTTTTTTTTTGTTTTTTTTATCATTTTTTTTTATTTTTTGTTGTATTTTTTTTTATTTTTAAATCCCACTGTGTAGTCCTTTGATAAACTACTGATAATTCATGAAACCAACCATAAGAGCCAGGTACATAGGCTATCCTTCCTCAAGGAAAGCCAGTTTCTCTTATATTCTTACTCCTTCGGCTTTTTTTATCCGTAAACCAGTATCATTAAAACTATGCTAAGCAGGGAGCGCAAGCTTACCTTAATAAATAATGATGGTTTACTGTAAATCTTCTTTGGCCACGAATCCTTGGTAGAAATTTCTTGAAGATTATTTTATTTATTTTTCAACTTTTATAACGTCAACTCTCCAAAGTTTCGGACTGCCAGGAAGTCTCGCCCAGTAGTAAGCAATTAAAGAAAATTTATATTGAATATATTTTTCCATAAAGTAATATAATGTATATTTTTTAAAAAAGAAGTATGTGTATTTTTTAAGAAAAGAGGTACGTGTTTTTTTAAAAAAAAGAAGTACACATATGGGAGGCAGTCAGTAGAAAAGGGAGAAATTCAAAAATTTTAAGATTTTTGGTTGTTCTCATGACCATGATTGGCAAAGTAAACTGATAAAAAAAATTTTGACCAAAATTTGGATTTCCCCCTTTTCTACTGACCACCTCCCATATTATTACGTGTATTTTTTTTTTAAAAAAAAAGAAGTATAATGTATTTTTAAAAAAAAAGAAGTTTGAGAAAATTTGAGGGTATATATACTGTATATACCTTTACGATATAGGTAGTAAATCAAATTATTACGCAAAGTTTGTATAACAAAAAAATAGATATGACTCATGATTTACTTGAATGACTCATTTATCATGGCTTTGAAATGAATAATGTAATACACGTGAAAAACGCGAAAACCCATCAGTAAATCAATTTAAGCTCTTTAACTGATGTTGAATAAATATCTAATAAAATGAAATAATTTGATCATGTGATAATCAAGTATGAGTCATCGTAAATGAGTAATTTTTTATTTTTTTCACTTTATAAACCGATGTAAACGCAATCAAACTGTTTCAGGCATTATATTTTTTTTAAAACAAAAAAAAGTTTCTCAATTCGTAGATTATTTTTTTACTATCCTATAGATTAGATTATAGTTCTGATTCTTTATAAGAAGCGAACCGTTTAACGTATAGCAAATATACTAGTTAATACATATATCAAGTCAAATTGTTATCAAATTCCAACAAATGATTCAACAAGAATCCAGCGAATGAGCTAAACACAGTTGATAAACATGTGAACATGATTCATAAGGCGCACATGATGAACTGAGACACCTTTTTTTCCTGATTTTTGATAACTCAGTAACTCAGTAACCATGACTCAATTGACCCATGATTCAAATCGCAGCGCTTGCTTTTCCATAAAATATTGATATGTTTACTAATAAAACTGCAAAACAAACTCTCTTTATACGAGAGAGATACCTCGTCAAGGTTAAGACGACTATCCAAAAAAACAAAAATGTCAAAATGATTCCAGAGTCATTATTTTATTTTAAGACATATTTTATTTTATTTTATTTTATTTATTTTTATTTTTATTTTTTATTAATATTAATATTTTATTTAATTGTATTTAAAAGAAGTTCCAATTCGTTTTGTTCTGAATGAAGATTTGGATTATTGTAAATATACCTTTGCAATTGATCAAAATACCTTCAATTCCTTACATGAAAATATTTTTTTCGTAATCCTATAAAATTCTGTACGTTAATACACTCAGTACACGTGGACTAGTCTTCACGAAAATACTTTCATCTTTTGTTAATTTAAGAACGTTGAATGATAATTTTTAATTCATGGAATTGTTGATATGAGATATAAGATTAATAATAAAAATATTAATTCAGATTATTTATCAAGAATTATTCCAAATCATAATCGTATTTTTCTAGAAATTGTAATATTTTTAGAATTAGGAAAAAAATTAACAAACGTGATTTTGTTTGAATTATTTATATTAACCATGTAAAATCACACAAGTAGTTTCTCTCAAATTTTAGTTATAGATTAGAATCTTTAAAATCATTTTTTGATAATACACATTGATTTAATAATAGATTAATAATAGATAAATATAAAGCATGAAGGAATAATTAAAAAAAAATTCGATTATAAATTACGGTCGTACTTTTTTAAAATTTTGAATGAATTTAATGAAATTAAATTAACTAGAAACGATTATTTATTTATTAATGTTTCGTGTTATATATACATTATTAATACATGTTTCATTTAATATTTTTTTTCGGTAAAAAAAATAAATTCTACGATCATGAAAAATATTCCGATAAAAAAAAAAGTAAATCAAAATCATGAAAATTGTTTGTATTATAATAAAACCATTGAATTATGAGACCTATATGGATTATGGAATAATGGAAGGATGGATCGATGGAAATCCTGATGACTGATATTGTTAAGTTTATAAAAGATACAATGTTTGATACATTAGTTGTTGGTAAATTTCTTAAATGGGTAGTTAAGTACCATTTGATAAATTTAGATATAAAAGAAATCCGTGAAAATGGGTTTGCTAAAGTTTTAACGATATTTGTATCCTCTGCAAGGATTGTTAACTAATAATTCATTAGTTTCCGACAGTGAACCAATTATATCTATTTATCTTCAAGCAAGAACGAATCAACTGAGAAATTACATTTCTGTGACTATTGAAAGGGGTAAATGTTACTTATCACTAGTTAAGGGTATGAAAAAAATATACATGTATCAGTTGTTTCATGTGTCAATCATATGTAAGGTCATGGTAAAAGGGGTGTAAAGGGAAAAAAAGAGAAGTTGAAGTTACTGTATAAATGAATATATACGGGAAACGCAAGCAATGGTTATTGATACGGTTAATTAAATTCAGGAAAAGATTATTACACGAAACAGAACCGGCAATCCAATAAAAGATTACGCGTCAACTGAGTAAGTGGTAAATGTAATCAATGGTATGAGGAGTAAGACGATTGAAACAAACAAACATCATTTGACGAAGCAGCTAAAAAAGCGTTCGACGACACGAATAGCGATATTTCAAGATCAAGTCGATATATATAAAGAAGATTTAGATAACGATTCAGCCAAAGATTATCAATGTAAAGATAGTTTAAAGGAAAAGAGTGAGAAATTTTTTGGAGGAGTATATAGAGGGTCAAAGAAAATGAAAAATAATGGCAACAATTAAACAATTAAATTGAAGATTACTAAGGTGATTAGCAAGTTTTAAACTAGTATTATAACGGTGTTTAAAATTTTAAGCATAAATTTTGGACAGATATATGTTTTTTAGATTAGGTTGCTATATTATATCAAGTGTGAATTATCAATCACGTATAACGATTTCGTTGTCTTTAATAATAAAAAAATATATATATATATATTTTTTAAAAGCAAGTATACATAATTAAATAGATCATGTTGCCGTATTCTACAATATGATCTTGCAGTTTTTTTTTTCTTATAAATTTCGTTCAATTACTATTAAAATATAAAAAAAAATAAATAAAATAGAAAATTAAATTTATAGAAATTCATGTTTTAGCTGTTAGTGTAAAAAAAAAATTAAATTTCAACAATTTTGAGGTTATCTAATTGAAGAGCCTCTTTTCCATTAACAATTAAAACTTCAGATCCACCTCGAATCGCTAATTTATGATTATATCCAACATACTAACCAGGAGAAGATACTAGGATTATTAACAATATTTTTCCAATTAGAATTATTGACTAATGTTCGCCAAAATCGATATTAGCACCAGTATCTTTATACATTGTTTCACCAGTTGAGTTATTTGTTTCAAAGCTATATTAAGTGGAACATTCGTTTCATTAACAATTGACTTTGATACGCCCATTTCTCTTTATTAGAGTAAATTTTTTAAAAAAGAGTTATTGTAAACAATAACTAATGTGTTTTATAACAAAATGAATTTTGTGTTAAATTTGATTATTGTGGCTTAGCAATAACAGCACATATAAGTCACGTTATTTAATGATACAAAATCATTCTTCGATCAAATGTGTACCAGCCGACCAGTCGTATGTACTGTACCTGAATAATTTTATACGGACGAATTACCGACGAATTACCGACGAATTACGGACGAATTGGACAAATTTACAAATTCAATAATCAAAATTATCAATTATCAAATTATCAATTATTCAAATCAATTTTATATATTTTTTTTTTTTTTTTTAAAAAAAAAAAATTGGTTATTATTATATGTACTTTTTTTTACAATAATAAAATATTAAAATACTATATATATATATATAATTGATGTATTAATTAAACGGAGAGAACTGAGAGTAATAAGGAAAGAATAAAATCAAATAATAATTATAATATAAAAAAAAAAAAGATTACAAAAAAATACTCAATAATCTCCAAGGAATGAAATTTTATAAAGAAATTTCTATATTTTTATATATTATATAAACATACCAAATGTAATTATTAATATTATCCTCCTTTTTGTTCATATCCAATTATTTAACTATATATATATGTGTTGTCTTACTTAGAAATAATATATTCACTTTTTCTTTCTTTCTTCTTTAATAGTCCATTATTTTAGGTATATAATCTAACTAGAAAAAGAAATTATTTATAGCGAATATCAAATGCTTTATAGCGGATTTTGAATATTTTTGATTATAAATCAAAAGCATCTTTCATAGTATATATCATCATATTAATTACAACACGACCTCCCATCACTTACCATCTTGCGAAAAATTTACTCAAAATCATCATCGCCACTGCTAATTGTAGCATCAGTATCAGATGCTGATATATTTGAGGTTCTAGTAGTAGTTTGGTTCAAGGTTGATGTATCATTATTGTACCAAGACCATGGTTTATACCATTGTTGATCAGGCCTAGAATTGTTCGTTGATGTGGTAACAATTGATTCGTTATCATTCTCATTTTCTTCTTCATCATCCGAGGATACGGGAGAAATAGAAGATAAGGAAGAACGATGTGAGAAATTTCTACGGTAGCTTTCATTTTCGCTTTCAGAATCATCATCATCATCAGAAGTATCCATATCATTACTTGCATCTTTTATAATTATCAATAAAGAAAAAATAAATAAAAAGAAAAAGAAAAATTTCTTTAATTACTATAATATCTATAAAATAATAAAATCACACAGATTTTCTCACCCCAATTGAACGAACCGGTGAACATCACTTCGTCATCATCATCTGAATCCTCTGAAGATGAATTGCTTGAATCAGATTCGCCGTCCATCAAATCGTCTGTTGTGGAACCATCTTGGTACATATTTCTTAATCGGGATGATGTCGAAGCGTGTCTGTATAAGGCATTTGAAAATTCGAATTCAGAATCTGTTGGGGTTCTATAAAGACTTGAGTTATGATAATTTGATGACATTGTTGACTGTTGTGATGCATTAATTATAGTTTGCGGAAGCGTATTAAAAAAATGACCATTATTCGCATTATTATATGTTTGTTCGTTGCTTTGATTATTAGTTGGTGAATTATTTAATTGCCCATGATACACTATACGCTCATTATTTGAGATATCATTTCTATAGATATCTTGACCACGAAATCTTGGCATATTAATGAAATCAGGTCTTTGTGGATAATAATCATCATTTCGATACCTAGACATTTCGTTAACTTCAGATCTTGGCGTAGTATCTGGAACGAAACTTGAAGGACGACTAGGACGACTAAGTACAAATTGAGAATGTTCAAAATAATTAGGATTTCGTTCATATAAAGTTTATAAAGTTTGAGATAAATGACGAAAGAATTTCATTTCCATTATCGAACCTTCGAAATGCTGAACTACTATAATAATGGAATATAATGAAATTATAGACCAAGATTATTACTATTTATTATCATATCAACTATTTAACGAGTTAAAAGTTGATAAATATTTTAAATATTTGAAGAAGAAAAAAAAAACACACCTCATTGAATCAGGACGAGGCCGATTGCGTGATATTGATCGTGTCCTTATTGTAGAATCTTGTGAAATGGATATAAAGAAAAATTATTGTGAATATGTGAATGTGTGAATATGTGAATATGTGAATATCAAAAAAATATCGAAAATTATTATGAATATCAAAAATTGGGAATATCAGGTTTCTATAATGAAACGTTTTATATCAACACGATAATTACCCATTGAGAGTCTTGGATTTGTTCGTCTTGCCGATGACGATAGTGCTTCATTTGAGCTGCTATAATATGAATTACGTTGTGAACGGAAGCCAATGTTAGAATCATGATCATACTCGTGGTCATCATCGGATTCATCTGAATCATCGGAACTTTCAGAGTCATTACTTCCAACATAACGCGGATCATATATTGGGTCGTCATTTTCGGATGGTGAATCACTAAAAAAAAAGCAAATTTCGGTTAAATAAAATTGTTTAAATTTTAACAACATATTAATAACAAACCTACTCGTCATTATCATAATAATCTTCTTCGGTACCATTATCATTGCGGAAGGGATGTCCAAGGTTTAATCTACCACCAAATAATGAATTCACTACCTGTAACACACCTATAAATATAATAATATAAACCCACGTTATACTGTAAGTAATTATTATTATTTTAAAACCACGTTATATGTATCGTAACGTCATTATTAACGAATACGTACCACGTTGAAAATTTGCGAAATCCAATTCACCAGGATGTGGCATATCAGCCGCATCAATTTGATTCTGCGTCTGTGGTGGTCCATTTACAGGGTGCTCCCAAATTCTTGGTTGTTTTGCATATTTGTCTACTTCTATCCGACAATAAGGACATTTATAATCACCTATAATAATAATTTTCGTGACGTTAGACAACCTTGAAAATTGTAACAATCAAAATATATATATTATATATTTTTTTTTTTAACGTGAAAAACAAAAATTTTACCTGAATGATTAAAGTGTGACCTATATTTGATATAAAAAAACCAATATTTAATAATTTAATATACAAATTATAAACTTTTAAAAGGATAAATATTAATTACCCTAAACAGTTCAAATGATAAATATGTCCACATGATAATCTAACTTGAGCATGATTATTCTCTACTTGTTCAATACATATGGCACAGTCAATCGCTTCACCCTCAGCATAATGATACATTTTTTCTGATGGTCTATCAAATGTAGGCCGATTGCAAGCACTAAAATTTAAAAAAATTCACATTAAAATATGAATAATAACACTTAATTCCCTTCCAAATTATATAAATTATATAAATTATATATCCAATTGCGTGTTACCATTCATTTTTACAATATTTACAAATAAGGAAACTTGAAAACTTTATATTTTTAACGTGGTAAACGCCTTAATCCAAAAAACCCAAACTTCAAAACTACTCTTAAAACTCACCTTTGTTGAGTTTGTTGTATAGTTGTCTCAGTCGTTGTAACATTTTTCATATTTTTTATTAATATAAGAGCTTGATCTACTAAAGGGAGATATTCTCTTCTACCTTCAGCTTCATATAAACAACGTTTATTATTTAAATAACCTTCAATCTCTCTAACAAATGTCACTCTTTCTGTCTCCATTGTATTTGTTGTTTCTTCTTTCTTCCTTCTTTTAAAACAAAATTTACTTGTAGATCCAAAAAGGGAGAGTGTTTTAAATTGAGTTACTACGTTAAACTTTTGACTTAAAAAAAATTTGGATGGGGAGTTTTAAAGAATGAAAATAATGATAACAAAATAATTTGTCTATTATATATATACGTTATGTTTACGTGAGAATATTTAAAATAAACAAACCTCTATTCTTTTTTAGCCGCTTGCAGCTATAAATGAAAATATAATAGAAAGAAAAAAAAAAAAAAAAAAATTTGCCAAAAAAAAAAAAAAAATTTTTTTTTTTTTTAGGTCAGGAGGTAAAAGTAATAATCTGCAATTTTAAAATGGTAATAGATTAACTGCATATTTTTTTTTACTTACAATGACGGAATGTTTCAAGTGTGTGTAATCCGGTAATCCCCCACGAATTGGGAACTATGAGCGTGACCCGGGTAAGCCAATAAAAGTTAAAAGAGGTACGCCTTTGACAATCAAAATTCAAAGTAGGTTTGTTTTTTGTTGCATCAAATTTGGTCAGAGAACAAAAGAAAAAATGAGAAGTATTTTCGCTATGTAATGCAATGTATAAAAAAAAAAAAAAAAAAAAAAAAAAAAATTTCTTTTTGTAAAACCAAAACAATGACAATGAGACAAAAAGTAAAAAGTTTTTTGGTGGCTCAATAAAATTTTTTTAAACGAATTACTATAAAAATGTTTGTAAAACATTAGAACTCCGATAGTTTTCCGCTTATGAAAGTGTCAACATGTGGAAAGGATTTACCTGTTCAAATTTCCAAGGATAGTAAAGAAATTAAATATCATTAAAGTTTTGAAAAATATTTGAATTTGATCAACATCTACAATTATTTAGATTGCATTGCGCTTCATGTGCGTGCTTGAGAAGGATTGTTTGTTCAAAAGAAAGATGCAACAAAAAAAAAAAAAAAAAAAATTTAAAAAAATTTTTATTATTTTATTTTTATGAAAAAGTATGAAAAAGTTATGAAAAGTATGAAAAATATGAAAAATATGAAAAGTATGAAAAGTATGAAAAGTTTCATCATTTCTTTTCATCTTTACAATTCCGAGAATTTTTTTTTTTTATTTTTTTTTATTAAAGAAAAAATTAATACAAATGCCAAATATTTATTGATCATCTAACGATCAGATCTCGGTTAGTATAGTGGTTAGTATCCCCGCCTGTCAGGATATCCAGCACGCGGGAGACCGGGGTTCAATTCCCCGACCGAGAGCAATATTTTTTGAATTTTTTTTTTTTTTTTTTTTCAAAAGTATCACGGGTGTAGCCGTGTAGGCGCATGAATAAACACGTGGTCGCAGTGTCGCACTAATTAGTAAAATTGACGGATTAACCTGTGTAATAATTAGGTAATAATGCAAGAATGATTTTTTTTTACACTCCTTGACTCCTTGACATGTTTACCCCTAATAATGATTATTCATGGGAGCGTACAAATAGGTGTCATTTTTTTTTTGCTATGGATGGATGTACTTTGACCGATATAGTAAATTAAAAAAAAAAATTTAAAAAAATGAAAAAAATTAAAAATTAAAAAAATATATATAAAAAAAAAAATGAAAATAAATAATTTTTTTTTTTTGAATTCATAAACGATGTTTTTTTTTTACAATTAATTTAATTTTAATTTTAAATTTAATTTTAAATTTATAAAATTTAATTTAATTTTAATTAATTAATTATTAAATATTTTATTTAATATTTAATATTTTAATTAGTTATTATAATTTTAAATTATTTAATATAACAAATTTTTTTTTTATTGTTTTAATCACAAAGAAATTAAAAAAAACAGTGTGTATGCATTAATATGCATTGACAAAATTGACGAATAAAATTTCAAATATTACTTAAAAAAATAAAAAATAAAAAAGCGAGAAATCCTTATTTTAAAAAAAAAAACAATTTTATCGGAGAATTTATTTATTAAAATAATTTATTACAAGGTTTATGAAATTCTAATAAAATATAAGTACGTGATATATATAAGTACGTGATATGTACAAGTACGTATTAATTTTAATACGACGTGTATATATGATATGTTATACAGTACAACATATGTATGTATGTACAATGAAGTTTTATCTTAATTATATCATCATTTCCTCTCTCTTACTTGCATATTTTGTCTCATTTTTTTTTCAGTTTTTTTTTAAGAAAATAAAAAAATAAAAATATAAAAATTATCATAAGTACAGGAAATAATATATATTAATATATTTAATATATTTGTATATTTATAAAATTTCTCATAAATACCATAAATACCATAAATTCCATAAATACCGTATATGTGTATCAATTGTATTATATATTCGTAATTGATGTACAATATATTTATATAAAATTAATAATATTTTTCTTATTTTTGACAAAGAAATTGTTCAAATAAGCCAAATGATTATCTCCAAGGATGATTTTCGATCTACTTTTGTTTCTCCGCCTTAACATACGAATGGATGGATTAATATTCATACTATTATCCATATAGGAATGATATACTAATTAATAATTACAGTGATTACAGTATATTCGGAACCATAAAAAAAAAATAATATATATATATATATATATGTATATATATCACATTTTAACCATTATTGCCGTTCATTGCCATCACATATTTACGATGTTATATAGGAAACATGGGCCCAATTGCAGAATTAAAATAAAACACATGATTTCATTGTTTTTATTAGTTAAATAATGTACGAGGTAACCCCTTACATAAAATTATTTCAAATTTGTATAAATATATATTTCTTTCCAATTTTGTATTCTAAGAAATAAACTTCAAAAAAAAAGTGTTAACTTTTTTTTAACTGACATGATAAAGTATTTTTTGCATAACGTGATACAAAAGACTTTTTTAGGTAATAACAGGGAACAAATAGTTATATAAAATCGATAAATAATACTATTAATATTGTGATACAGCATTAATCCAATTTATGCAGTCTCCAAAAAAATTCCCGATACTACAGAGACTACAGTACATTTTCTCATGATTTGTAACACAACAGAAATATTCAATCTATATTTGATTGGGAATACGTGTTACAAATTTATTAAGCATTTAACATTCGTTTAAATAAAAAATCATTATTCAAGGGAAAAAATATACTGTAAATAGGCGTAAAAACTTGACTAAAACATGACTTTTAAAGTAGAAAAGTTGTTTTTTAGGCTGAAATGATAATCATATGTCGTGTATCTCATTAAAATCCGGAAATTCCGAAAACTCCGATAATGGGATCATAATTTTAGCGAAAATATTGGATAGGAAATTATTTTAAGCAAATTACTTGGTAAATTACTTGGCAATTATTTTATAAACTTGTTTTACACAATATATTTATTACATTTATGCAATTAATGTTCTGTTGTTGAATTCTTTAAAGAATTTATTTTTTGATCATAAACAAATTTTGAGGTTTCTCAAAAACAAAAAAATATTATTTACAACCTTAAAAATGACAAACCCTGTATGAAAAAATTCAATTAAAATTTACGTTTCAATAACAAACATTTTAAATATTAAGGTTTATAAAAACGTAAATAAAATATTTGGTAAACATTTTTATTGTTTTACCCAAATTGGAGTAGATAGCAAGATACTAGATTGATAATTTTAACGGTTAAAATTATATATGGAACAAAGATTTCATTGATCATTAATATTTTTGGTTAATATTTAATAATGAGTGAACAGTTTCTTTAAATAAATACATTTTAATTTCAATGTGACATATGCGTGGTGGTGATACGGTGTGTGACACAACAACGAACTCTATTTTGCTTTGTTTGTATACATTTACTCAATTGTAACCAATTATAAATAATTTTTTTTTATTTACGATATAAATACAGAAATTATTTACGCAAAGTTCAATATTTTCTTTCTCGTCTTTTTTTACGTAAAAGCATAATATATTACATTCCTTTTACTCTAATACCGTCAACTTTATTTTCGCTACCCTTTAATTTTTTAAAAACATGATTAATCGTTCAAATAATAAATTTTTTATAAAATATCCTTATATACCGATAATAACATTACTATTTAATGTCAGAGACGTTATAGCAGATCGTGAATATTTAAATACTCCTTCGAACAAGGTTAATTTTCGTAGTGTAGTCGATCTTTCCTTGACAATGCTAGCACTAGGCTTTATTGGGTGTTTTTATGTTTTCTATAGAATTTATAAACAGTGGATAATGAATAAAAAAAGTCTAGTGATGATACATAAACTACCTTATTATACTGCATGTATAGGTAAGAACTTATTAATAAGCAGATTATGTCATATATTGTCTAAAAATTTTATTTTATTTCTTTTAAAAAAAATAAATTAGATATATTATTAAATGCTAACTTTCTCGTAAATATTGTAAGTATTCATATATTATATATTATTATTATCTATATTACAAATTTATTTAAATTATTTGAATTTTTTTAGATGCATACGGCTATAAGAGGGCGGGTATGGGATGACCCTGTATGTCAATTAATGAGTGTACTTAATTGGGCATTTATATCAGTAAACCTATGTTTCTATTGTGTAATAGCGTAAGTATTACCGTATGTCAATAGGGAAATTAATTGATAGTATGTCAAGATATATATATATATGTTTGATTACTTCTTCTTTTTTTTTTACATTTAGGATAACAACTTACCTTCGAATTTGTCATGAAAAGTATTTTGATTGTGGTAGATATGACTGTAAACTTTGGTTAATTGTATTTATAATAAGTATGATACTTCAATTAATAAATATACCAAATCATGGCGGACGTAAATATTGGTAAAGTAGAATAAAAATTGTTTAATTATTATTTGAGTTTGTAAATATTTTTAGTCGTCAATTTATTAAAATAAATTCGATTTGTTAGGTGTGCAGGAAAATCAGGACAAGTTCGTTCACCAATGATATTATTTGTAATGATAACATCATCATTATTAATAGTATGTTTTTGTTACATGAATATATTAATAAGAATCATAAATATACAAAACCCTTCTATATCAGCATTATCAAAAGATAGTGCTAATGAAAATGGTATTGGAAATGATGTTTTGGAACAACGTGCTGAAATTGAAAGAAGAGCTGCTAAAAAAATTTTGAGTTACGTACTTATTTTTATTATGCAATGGGTACCTGTTCAAATTTCTGCTGCGGCTAGGTTTTTTTCGGTGAGTAAAATTTGACATAAAAAATAATATATATATATATATATATATATTTATAAATACTCATATCGTCGTTTCATTTGTAGAATGATAATACTTGGGTTTATCTTGTGACGAGTATAGGTAAGCAAGCGAGTTATTCGTATATATATATATGGTATATAATTTTTAAAAATTTTTTTCTTTTCTTTTTTTTTTTTTAGGGAGGTCATTTGGTGGAATTGGTAATGCAATTCAATATGTATTAAATGAGGGTTGGGTTACAAGAGAATCTACTGAATATGATACTACGAGATCTCAAGAAACAGATAACAAATCAACATCTTTAAATAACGATAATTATAAATTACTTGAATTAAACAACAACAACAACAACAACAACAAAAATAATAACAATACGGAAAATACAGGAATTACGGGACCTATAATAAATATTGAAGGTAGCAATCAAGGATATCAAGGATAAAAAAAGAAAAAAAAATTATTTATTATTGTAAATAAATTTTTTTATTATTTTTTAAGCAAAAAAAAAATATATATATATATATATATATTATTAATTTAATAATTTAATTAGTCAATAAGTTTTATATTAATAAATAATTTTTCATAAGAAACAGTAAAATGGTAGAAATATCATACTGTATATATATGATATATATATATGATTTTGATATTTATGATATACAATTATACAAAGAACTTTGAATAATAAGTTTTTAAGATTCTATAATATTAATTACGGAGTACGAACGTACGTTTAATTTATATACCAAACAATTTTTTATAATTTAATAAAATTTGTATAAAAAGAATTAATAAGTATGCTATGAATTTTAAAATTTCTGGTTAAATAATATTATATAGTATTTTTGCTATAACTAAAACAATTTAAGATCATTTATATTTAATAGACGCTTTAATTTTATAAATCTGTTCAACAAGAAGAACGGACTCATAATGTTATGATCACTCATGATAGTATTCTAGAATATTGTTTTTATTGTTTGTACCTTGTAAATTGTAATTCAAGCACCAATCAGTAAAAATATTGATTTTTAAATCAATTATACAATTTAATATTCACGAGATCAAGATATCAATCTCCAAGGAATTTTTTTTAAAAAAAAAAAATTAGACATTTTTGTGAAAAAACAAAATTGTGACAAAATAAAATTAGACATTTTTTGTGAAAAAAAAACAAAAATTGTGAAAAAAAAAAATTACAAACAAGTCAAAGAATTTTCTGTATACTTTTGATTTACGGTTAAATTTTGATTGGTTATAGGAAAATTTTTATTGGATAATTCGATTACATCCAAAAAAAACAAATAATACTGTATCTTATCTGTATCTTATCATAGGAAATAAAAAAAATATTTATACAGTAATTGCAAAACTTATTATAGAAACTTATTATTGTTTGCCATTTAAGTCATTGCCAGAGACAAAGGGTCCAACTATTTTTTTTTCGTATACCTTTACTAATTGGATCCATTAAAAATAATATGGAGTCTAAAGTTTGGATACACTAAAATGCAAGCAGATCAAAAAAAAAAAAAGGACTAACCACAAGTCGCTAAATTGAACGGACTTTAAAATTTGTTCGTTTCCCTAAAAAAAAAAGAACCCAAAAAAAGAACCCGTTTTTTTTATCCTGTTTTTAGTCGAGACCAAGGGGAAAAATGATTGTGTGCAAACAAATAAATGTTGTAACAAATAAAGATAACATTTAATCATCACATGGAGTGTAACCTGCATAAAAGTTATTTTGTGCTCTACCCTTTTGTAAAATTGTTTTTACAAATATTACGAAAGAAAAATTGAAATATTGCATATTCTGATATAAATTTTATTATCTAATCAAAAACTTTAAAAAAATTCTTTTCAAATCAAAATTTCGCAATATGCAAAAGGAGAACTTTTTGGAAGCTAATTTTTTTAAATTAGAAAAAATCCCTTATCATACATGTCATAGTAATACATGATTCCATATGGAAATGTTTTTTTAACACAAAAAAGTTATATGTGTATTGAAAAAATATGTGGTGTGGACGAAAAAAAAAAAAAATACCAATTGTATCAATGCATCAATTACGGAGATTGTGTATTAACATCCCGAAAAGTCCAAAATAATAATAATAATAATAATTTCCTTAAATATATACTTCTTTTTTGATTTTCACGCGTTATTTTTCAATTCGAATTTTTTTTAAGTGATTTTAAAATTAGATTTCTTTTTAACTCATTTTTTCATACCTTTTATGTGATTTTATTTTATTTATTTTATTGTTATTACTTATTATTATTCTTACTATTAAAGTTAAGGGGTGAAAAAAAACAATGTTCGGTTGTGTTACACTTTGATTTACATTTCCTCATTGAAAGGTTTCAGAATTTTAGCTTTTTTGGACGTCACCAGCATTTTATTTGTTTGCGCTTTATAACCAAATGTAGATTTTAGATTTTCTGCTGATTGTTTATGATCAAATTGTTTAAATATCCACATAATTACCTGTTACGTGCTTAAAAAAATGTCTAACCAAATTAAACTTTTACAATTAAAAAAAAATTTTAAGATTACCAATTTTAGTAAAATACCACTTATAATATGGGATTTTTTTTTTAAGAATCGTAATCGATTTCAAATTATATTTCCAAATCAAGTTAATTATAATCACAATGATTCCATTTATACAATGATGTATGAAACATATTTAATATTTGTATCACAATACCGGTTCCTCTTTTCTGGTATTCAAAGATTTATTTCAATTATCCGATACCGTAAATAAATAAATTTGAGTCAAATTACTGAGTTATATTTAATTACCATATTATTAGTCATTCCTTTTAATTGATTTTTTGTTCTTTTTAATCTCCTCAATATTAATATGAAGTCCTTTATTATAATATCGGTATTTCAGATATTTTTCTCTAATGTCCTTAATGTTTTGGCTCAAAGTAAACCATCAAAAGTCCGATTAGATAATCCGGACAATATAGATCAATTTTATACTGTAGTATATTTTTCGATTACAATGTCTATATTGGGATGGTGTGGATGTATTTATGTATTTTATAGAACTTATGAGCAATGGAGATTGAACGATAAAAAATTGAAAATGATTCATAGGCTTCCATTTTACACCGCATGTAGTGGTAAGAATAAAATGACTTTTATAATGATTAGTTAATAGTTATAGTTATTAATTTTGTTTTTTTTTAATCTAGATTTCTTGATCGATACAAATTTTTTTGTAAATGTTGTAAGTATATTAAAAATTTATATCGATGTATCGAAAAGATTACTCAAATGATTTTTTTTTTTTTACAATGATTTAGATTCATACAGCAATTTACGCTGAAGTTTGGGGTCAACCGATGTGTAACATAATCTGTATTCTTCATTGGCTATTTTTATTAATTAATTTATCATTATACGGTGTTATAGCGTAAGTTCAATGATAATTCGATGTTAATTCGATGTTAATTCTGTTAATTTGATTTAATTCTGTTAATTTGATTTAATCCTGTTAATTTTGATGTTCATTAATAGAGTAACGACATATTTACGTATTTGTCACGAAAAATATTTTTATCGTGGAAAATATGATTATAAAATTTGGGTAATAATAATTACCGCAGCTATAATATTTCAATTAATTAATATTAATAATCATGGTCCACGTAAATATTGGTATGTAATAATTCACTTATTCTAGTTAAAATATTTAAATATTTATTAGATTAAAAAAATTAAATTGTTCCTAATATAGGTGTAACGGAAGATCAGGGCAAAGAGTATCTTTTACATTATTATTCGTAATAATAACATCAATTTTGATAATTATATGTTATTGTTATTTTATGACTTTATATACAATTAAATTACAAAATTCTAATTCTATAAATAATATAATTAATAATAATCATAATTTTGATAGTAAAAATGAAGAAATTAAAATTATGAATAGATTAAGAATTTCTGAAATTGAAAAAAAAGCTGCTTGGAAAATTATTAGTTATATATTATTATTTATTCTTCAATGGCTTCCTGTACAAATTAATATTGCTACTAGATGGACTACGGTATGTGTCTTTATGAGTCGTCGTCGTACAGATACACTATTTTTACGATTTTTTTTTTATAGATTCGTGAAACTTGGACTTATATTTTAGGTGCTCTTGTAACATTTGGTGGTATTGGTAACGCTATAATTTATATTTGTAATGAAGGTTGGTATTCTCGTAAATATGAAATTGAAGCTGAAACAACAAATTTACAAGTTACCAATAATTTTAATATTAATATTGAAGATGGTAAATGATTCGTTTTAAGTTATATGAATATAATATGAAATTAAGAAATTATGTATTATTTTATATGGTTAAAATTTTTAAGATTAGTAAGTTTATGTAAGGAAAAAATATATATATATACATCACGTGATTTAAGATTTTTTATTAAATAAACTTGCAGTGTCCGAATATTTAAGTCAAAAAAAGTCAAAGGACAAACTAATGGGTTTAAAATAATTAAAATATGAGCCTCGTTCGTTCGTTCGTTATTAGAATTAAAGATTTAATATTCCGTATTTCGGATCGCCACTTTTAAAATTATTTATTAAGTGTATCTTGGTCACGTAATCCATAGTATCTCGTTCTACCACATCACATCAGGAAGTCACAAAAAAAAGTATTTCCGCTTGTAATTACTTGGTATCGAACCTTATATTCTTATTATATTTATTATATCGTAATTTTCATTTCACTAACTTCTGTTTCAAATTATTTAAATTATTTTAATAATTTTACTCACTAAATTCACGATTTATCATATGTTGTCGATGAATCTTTATTTATTTCTTTTATGTTTCCAAATTTGTTACATTTAAAATAACTACATAATATTCACCATCTTTTCAATATATCTTAATAAGGGGTGAAAGTTTCGCTAATTTCAAACATCGTCAATAAAAAAAATTTACAAAAAATTCTTTTAAATGTAAATTTATCAAATATTCTCATGTTTTATCAGGTTAATCATTTATAAATTAGTTTTTAGTTTTTACACGTATATTTTTATCAATATCATTAATTAACGCAACTAAAAATTAATACAAATTTACGTTCTCGCATATTTTCTATAATTAATATCAAATAAATCACGCATTTCACTGATCATATGGCGTCCGATTCAATTATCCTACCAAGTATCCTACCAAGTATTGAACTAAAAAAGAAATATTTACATTTTAAGTCATCTCGACTTAAGTACTCGTTTTTTTTAGTAAACCTTTTTTTTCCATAAATGATAAAATTTTCTGCTTTATTATAACAGTTTTATGGTGAAATTTATTTTATTTATTTGTTAAAAAATTTTAATCGTCAAAAAAAAAAAAAAAAAAAAAATTTCAAATGTTTAGATTTAAAAATATTTTACTACGTCATCAAGTATTACAAAAACTATAAAATTCTCGGAGGTCGGAGCGTAAATCACGTAAATAAATTAACTCCGATCAAATTAAGTATGTAATGATGCAAGTCTTATTATTATTAACCTTATTTTATCCGGTAATTTCGGTAATTTAAAGATAATAATATTTTTTATTCATTCAAAATTATGTGCTTTTGGCTAATATTTTTTGAAATGGTTTGTTTTTTGATTTTTTGAAATCCGTCCATTCATCGCTCATTGGGTGTAAAATTATGTGTATTACTGGTATTGGTTAGAAAATTGGAACTTCACACGTGATTAACTATTAAATGGAGTGCCACACGTCATATGATATCTCTATATATAGAAATATTTTTTTCATCCCTTCAAAATATTACGTAACTCATCATTGTTTCCTTCAATATGCGGCTTATGGTGCAGTACAACATATGTCGATCATTTCAAAACATATAAATACCACAATAATCCCTACATGTGACAAATATAACTTTACTTTCAAACCCTTTCAAAACAAAAAATGGTGTTTCACAGTCATTACATGGTAACTGATAAAAAGGGTATTATTCATAGTTTATGTTGTTATAAAGATTGTAGTAATCCTCAGGCTACTATAAATGAAGAAGAATCTGAAAAAGATAATAATAATATTATAGAAAATACTACTACAACAACAACTACAACAACAACAAATACAACAAATACAACAAATACTACTACAACTACAACTACTACTACAAGAGATTTATTGACAAAATCTGATGATAAATATTTATCAAAAAATGAAAAAGATGAAAAAATTCGAAAGAAACCATCATTAGAAAATTTAGAAAATGAAACTGAAAAATTTGATAATCCAGAAACATTTATAAGATCAAAAAAACCTTCACAAAAGAAAGTTCCTATATTTAAATTAAAAATTCCTTCAGATATTGTTAGTGAAAGTTATCGTAAAAGATATAAAGCTTATAAAGCGGCTATTATGAAGAATCCTATTCAATCCGGTTATTCATCTGATGAATTTATTGAAATGGATACTGATACAGAATTAGATTCAGTTTCAACAAAACCTGCTGAAAAAAATTTTCAAATTTCCGATAAAGTTGATAATAAAGAATTTAATGAAAAAGAATGTTTTGAAATTGATGCTGCAGAATTTTCTACTTTACCAGAAGATTGTGATATACATGATAACACTATAACAGATTCTTCAAATTCAGATGATAATTTTATTCCTGATATAAAATCGCAACAAAAGTCGAATCAGGATTCGATAGAACCTTTTCATAAAGCTGTTGAAGATGCGCGAAGGTCTATGATCACTTTAATTGATAAATTTTGTTTTGAACAGGATTCTTCATCACCAGTGGTTCAATCATCTCAAGCTCAAGTTCAATCATCTCAAGAAAATCGTTTAAATACATGCAAAGAAGATCAGAAAATTTCAATAACGCAAGGAGAGTTGGCCGTCGTAACAAATATTGCCAATACTGATAAAACTTCTTTTATAAAGAACAAAAAGAACAAAAAGAAGGGTAAACAGGCAAGATCACAATTCGGAACTCCAGAATTTCCCATTGATTTAGATAACGATGATAATGTTAGACCACGAGTAAAATCGCCTATATTAAGTGATGATGAAAATAATGTAATGAACGAAAGAATTTCTTTAAATTCTAGATTGAAATCTGTTCAAACTCAAGATAATTTAATGATAAATTGGTTCGATCGGGATGATTTCAAAAAATTTATGTTGAATACTGCTAAACATCGATTAGAAGAGCTCGATAATGATGGTCAAAATTCCAAAAAACGTGTTAAAGGTAGCGAACGTTCCTCATCAAGTTTTCGAAATTCATACGGTAATGAAAAATAATATAATATTTTTTGTTTTAATTTATTAATTTATTTATTTATAACTTTTTTAATAATATTTTTTATCAAGCCTTTTCGAATGATCAAAATGATCATATTGGGTCGTCTATAGTTCAAATACCTGTCTTTAAAAATCCAAAGTATTTGGAGTTAGCTCTCACTCACAGATCAGTTCTCCCTGATCATCAAAATTGTTTTGATTATGTGAGACTTGAAATTTTTGGTGATTGTATTTTAAGTACAACAATTTCACAAATGGCGTATGAAAAATTTAAAGATCAATTAACACCGGATTTACTTGAACAAATTCACAATTATTTATGTAGTAATTATAGACTTTGTAAATTTGCCAAGATGTTGAAATTACAAGATCTAGTTTATGCTAGAAAATCATTTTTGAGTGAAAAAGAAATAGCTAATGTTTTGACGTCATTATTGGCAGCTATAATTATGGATGGTGGAAGGGAAGTTGCTGTTGATTTTATTAGAAAACTTATTGGACCTACTATGGATAATTTGGTGAGAAATGGAAAGTTTGTAGGAATACAGATTAATGATACGAATGAGAAAATACAAATTAAAAATGTGGTGGATGATCAACATGGAAATTTTTTCATCTAACAGCAACCACATATATTTATAATAATTGATTTTTTATAAGGATAAATGTTTTTAAATAATTTCTTGAAAAACTTTATATTTCCTATGTTGTTAGTAATACTGGTATCAATTTCAAAGAAAAAAATAAATCAAGTACGCAGTGCGCTTATACAGTTTTTTTTCCTCCTCTTTATTAGCATTATATAATAATAAAGGTCTGGTTGGTTCAGTGTAATTAAACTCGGGATTTTGTTATTATGAGCGGTTCTTTTAAATATTGTGTACTCTACTACATCTTTATCATCTGCTAGCTATTCCTTTTTTTTATATATTTTTCAAATTTTCATGCGAATCAACTTTAAACTAATTAACTTCATTTCATTGCCATGCAAATTGATTTTTGTACCAAATTAAGACGGAAATTTAAAAGATTATTTCGTTCATCAATAACGCTTTCTTCTTTGGAATATATAACCTTTTTTCCTCTATTTAATCCTTTTCGAGTTACTAAAACGCTACCCATGCAGTATGTATTTATAAAATATTCAGTAAAGTCTATAAAATATTGCTCGTTCGACGCCGGCTCGATTAATATATCTCATAAAAAAATTTTGCTCATTTTATCTCTATATTTCTTTAAAAATCATGAATTTGTCACGTGATCGGTAAGCAAGCTTCCAATGAATGAATATGCGATAATGCGACTACATTTTACATTTACGGAAAATAAATATAAAACACGTTTTTATGTGGAATGCATATTACCTACGATTGAGAAATCTAATCCAATTTCAATTAAGATCATTCTTAATGCATAAAGTGATCTAAATATTACACGTTATTACGTCATGAAATTTCCTCATCACGATGGATTACTACGTTATAATCTCGTTGCAATTGTCGAACTCTTATTGGTAAATTTATACGTGAATTTTTTTCTGCAAATGCTGTTTGTAGGTATAAAAAAGTTCGATGAAGTTCTAGATTACGTTTTTAGTGTAAATGTTTATTTTTCAATATACAAATAATATTCATTATCATTTGAATCTTCTCGTTCTAATGAAATTTCTCTATTGTACACAATTTATTTAATTTCCTTCATTAACATATTCTTCATAACCAATAAGATTGTTCATATCAGATATTAATATAATTAAATCAACAGATTGTAAGGATAATTGATAAATTACCTAAATTACGCGATATTTTGATTGTACTTAATTTTTACTGACCAATCAAAAATATGCTGAATAATTTTGATTTTGGTTATTTTGGTTCTAAATATAATTTTCATATTTTTATTAAATTATAAATTGCAATATATTTTTCTTAATAAAATTTGGTCAGAAATACTTCAGAAATAAATATTTATAAAGATCGCAGAAAGCATGACATGATTTCCAACGAATTATATTTTAATGAGCGTGAATCATACAAAGTTTTGGTGGAATAGTAAAAAATAAAATAAAAATTAGATTTTTTTCTTTACATTATATTACATCATCGGATTTAAAAATAATTTTATCATTTTCTTCAACTTTTGGACTTTTTCTTCCGATGTGATCTTGTGATCTTTTGATTTGTCGCTCTATACGCAATACGGGATCTTCTTTACAAATTTCGTTTAATGTTGCCAAATTCTCTATATTCAAATAATTAACGTCATCATCTTTATTTTTCTTTAACTATTCCGCTTTCAAGTATTTTTTTTTTTTTGAAATTTGAATATAAGAAGAATCGCGTCTACATCAATTGAAATAAAAGATAATCGCAGAAGAATAGCAGATCGAAGTACTTTTTTAACATCATTATATAGAAAGAGTTTCGTCAAGAAATTTAACATTAAGCAATCAAGTTAAGAAAATTTCCGAGAAAAAAAAATTAAAACTTCAAGTTAATTACGAGCGTACCCTATTTAAAATTGGTTATATCACGTTCTATTTTATTGGTGTCCAATATAATTTATACATTTTTACAATGATTAACTTTTGTTTTCTTTTCCTGTAAGTAATAAAATTTTTGATTGGCTTATAATAATTCTGTTTTCTGTTTTAATTCTACCTCTATACGTCTCCAGTATTACCTAATGCTGACGCATCAACGATCATTATAAAACGATTACATCTTATCCAAACTACTGTAAACATGTGTTATCAACTTGTCATTCATCATTTATTAGTAATGGAAGGATTTCAAGAAAAAAAAAATTATTTTGATCAAAACTTGCATAAATCGATGCATTGAAACATCGGTTGATGCAAAAAAAAATTTACGTTATTTAATTATTTTACACTTTTGGCACTATAATATGCCAATTGATTATTGATTTATGTGTAATTTTGCGCATTCTGGCATAAATTGTTTTTTAATTACAAAAATTTCGCTATTCTTTGCCAATATCTCAAATCCTTTCGATGAGATCCCTGATTTCGTGCTTTTACGATAGTTAGAATTAAAAGGATTTAAAAATTCACGTTAAATAATAATGTATAAAAAATAAAGTAAATTTGCAAATATATTTGGCGTATATATTTATGACGGATAGCTAGGTCTACAGATCCTCCAGAGTGAGAGTTAATACCTGCTAGTGGGGGATAGAGACATGTTGATTTCTCGGTCCAGCTTTAAAGCCAATACAATGAACATAATTTAAAATATCTTTATATTCTACCCAATTGCTATTTCTCATAAATAATATTTATTATATACTTTCTTTTTTGTATTCATAATACATTATCACATCACGATCACGTTTCATCCTAACAGTTCAACCCTCTTACTAATATTGAAAATATTGTAACAAATTCAAATAAATAACTATACGTTATTGACGATTACAGTCAATCGAGCAGGTTTCTATGCATAGACCTAATTGGCCTGATTGTTTATATAAACTATTAAGATTATCACTAATAGATGCAGCTAATGGATCTTCTTGTTGTTCGTTAGCATCATTGGCATATTGTCGTAAAATTTCATTGTATACATCATTAATATTAGGTCTTTTCTCTGGATCGCCATCCCAACATTTTTGATAAAGTTGTCTGTACTCTGAAGGTGTACCATCAATTGGTTCTTCTCTAAGATTCTCATGACTAATATGATAACCTAACATATCTCGTTCTACCGTATGAAAGGGAGGATGCCCACTTGTAATTTCCCATAATAAAACACCTAAACTGTATACATCAGACCTTTTATCTTTTACATAATTTACACTCCTTAAACATTGTGGTTCGACATATTCAATAATTCCAATATTATTAGATTTTGAACTAGATGTAACTTCCGTTAATCGCTTAGACAATCCAAAATCTGCAATTAATAGTCTACCATTATTTACTAATATATTTTTTGAGTGCTTTAAAGATAATTACAATATTAATTAACGTAATATTATAATAAAAATATTATAATAAATAAATTAATGATTTACCAAGTCTCTATGGATTATGCCGTCAGAGTGTAAACATTTTAATCCACACGTAATATCCAACGCCATTCGAATCTTATTTTCCCACTGCAATGAATCAAATTTTCTTTTAAAATAATCCCTTAAATTTCCTTCATTGGCGTATTCCAATACCATGACATAACCAATATCATCTATACATTTAAATTTAATATAATTAAAACCGGTAATGAAAAGATTAATATTAGCTGATAAAGGATGAATTAAATAAACTACTTAAAAAATCTTAATGCAAACCCTTTGATATTCCAAGAAAACTAATGATATTAACATGATGAGCAACCTTACGAAGATTCTTTAGCTAAGGAAAGGATCACGTTAATTAAACGCCTCGCTATATAATACGGGGAATCTAAAATACACAGTAATTCTCACCTCCTTTACAAAGTTTTCAATAACATTTTCTTCAATTTTTGAACTTTTCTTTTCGATAAGACCTTTTAGTGCAACTTGTACTTTATCATTAGTTTCCGCTCTATTCACAACACCAAATCCTCCTTCGCCAATTTTTTTAATTTTGTTAAATTCACTATACTCAAAATATTTGATATCTTCTTCTTTCATTTTCTTTTTAATCCATTCCTAGTTTTTGAGTATAGTAATTTATCGTGAGTAATTTTTTTAATAAAAAAAAGAATATAATAAATTATCTAATAATAATTTACCTCAGCAGTTAAATCTTTGACATCAGTTTTAACCTTTTTATAATCATCAGCATTAAAATAAATAATTAAGGAAAATTGCAAGGGTTTAATAGCAGATTCAAATTTATCAATTAAATTACTGAAATTTTCGTTAATTGATGAAGTCCCTGTAAGTTTTTCAAATCCACTTGATTTAGTAATTTCTATAAGAAATTGACGTATTTCTTTAATGATAATAACCAAATTACGAAAGTTATCATAATTTTTTTTTGAAAAAAAATCCAAATTTCTAATTCTTAAATTTTTTAAAGCCGTATCAGCTATCTTTACTCTATTTAACATTGCTTCACATATTCTTTTATTATGTTCAGCTTTTTGATATATTTCTACTATTTCATTATATAATTTGGTCACTTCATCTATAAGTTGTAAAAAATCTGCGAATGGTATTTCTACTTTAGATGCAGCTTCTCTACCAGCACAAACTGTACTGAGCGTTAATTCTTCCGCGCTAGTTGATGATTCTAAGGATATAGAAACTTGTAAAATTCGTATGGTAGCTTCAAATTCATTAACTAAATTATTAAAAATTTCTTGAATAGCTTTACTATGAATATATTTTTTAAGACCTTTTAATTGAGTAATTTCTACAAGAAATTGTCGCATTTTACGTATAATATTAACTAATCTATATAATTTAATATAATTCTCTTCTGTAAAAAATTCCTTACGATCTTTTAAATTTCTTACAGATGCTTCAGCTACTTGTACCCTATTTAATATATCTTCACATATTTTTTTATTTCGTTCTGCTGTTTGATATATTTCTACTATTTCATTATATATTTTGGTCACTTCTTCTATTAATTGTAAAAAATTCGAATCTGAACTCATTAAACCTTTTGCTACGATATCTACAGCATTATCGGATGTTGGTGCTTGATTATTATCAACTAAATTTTTATTATTTTCATTCATAATTAAAAAGAAAATTTTTTTAATAATTATGGAAAGAAAAAAAAAATCATTGATATATATACTAGAAAATAAGTATCACAAACGCCGTATCACCTTCCTATATAACTTTTTTTAAGATCAGCATTATCATCATCCTTTAGTTCACGAATAAGTCGACATATTATTATTCAAATTGATAAATTATCAACGAAATGCTTTTCCTATTCGTTTCGATATTAATTAAAATACGGTAAATAATTCAAAACAATCGCAGAGATAATAGATTCAAATTCGTCATTTAAATCACCAACACTTTTCTTTAATATCTTTAGAAACCTTTCGATTCAGAAACTTCATTAATTGCTAATAACAGCAATCAAGTTACTTACTAAAATTGATATAATTTTCTTTTGAAGAAACTTATTATCGATGGACATGGACATGCCAACTATGTTTGTACTCTATTTAAATCGTTACAACTTGATATTATATCTATTGTCATATTATTAAAAGCTCCCCTTAATTTGTCTGGAATTATTAAGGAAAATAAAAAAGTTTTATTTCAAGCCATCGTAAGCCTTGAAAGAACATTCATAAAAGTTAAGTCGTAATCCCCCTCAGATTAATACACAACAACCAATCATATTTCGGACAAAATAAAAAAAAAAATTTTCATGATTTCATCCATCTTCAAAATGACCCTCGGCATTTCATTTATCGATTAAGTTTACAATTGTTAATTTACCGAAATTAAAAAATTTGCCATATAATACTGTATATTCATGGTTAATATAAATAATTTTCTGCCATAAATAAATAATTTCATAAGGTATTCGTCAATACCAAACTTCTTTCATGAGATTTTCCGAGTTTTATATTATTAAGTTGGAAATAAAAGAATTTATTTATTAGAATCGCGTATACTATATAAAATGAAAATTCAAAAAAAAATAAACATTATAAATTTGTAATCATATTGAGAGTGTATTTTTATGAAATAGTCATCTGAATTTTGCCAAAACAATATTTACATGAAACAAAGATAGAAAATTCTCTTTATCGTTCATTATTTATACATAGAAAGCAAAATTTTTTTTTATCGAAATCAATTAAAATTTCGGATTGGGTCATTATACTGTACTAATAATTTTTGTTTTCCAGAATGAATCATATTTATAGTGTAATTTATTGGTTTCTTTTTCTGCATTTATGGTGAGTCTTTCCTTTTCATTTTATCCCTGATAATGTCATTTAAAAAAATTTATTAGCAAAACCAACTTAATTAAACATTATTTGATTTTGATTTTTAGATAACATAAAATCGCTTTCTATGCATAGAGAGTTGCTAGTCTCCTTGTTTTCTATGCATAGATCTGGTTGGCCTGATTGTTTATGTAAATCATTAAAATTATTTCTATTAGAAATCACTAAGGAATCTTCATGTTTTTCGTGAATATCATCGGGTCTTTTTCCCGGAACATCATCCCAACATTTTTCAAAAAGTTGTTGATATTCTAAATCATTAAAATTATTACTATTAGAAGTCACCAAGGAATCTTCATGTTTTTCGTGGGTATCCTCGGTATTAGCTTGACTTAAAATTTCATTGTAAACTTGATTAGCATTAGGTCTTTTCCCTGGATCACCATCCCAGCATTTTTCATAAAGTTGTTGATATTCTAAAGGTGTACCATCAATTGGTTTTTCTCTAAGATTCTTATGACCAATGTCATCATATAAACTATCTCCTTTTTGTGAGATGTTATAAAAGGGAGGATGTCCGCTTGTAATTTCCCATAATAAAACACCTAAACTATAGATATCGGACTTTTTATCACTTTTATGACATATATCCTTACAACATTGCGAGTCAATATACCCAATGTTTCCAATTATATTACCCTTTGAATTAGATGTAGCTGGTCTAAGTAATCCAAAGTCCGCAATTAATAATTTATCATCATCCACTAATATATTATTTGAGTGCTATAAAGATAATTTTGGCGTTATTAAAACTTGATATCATTTAAGGAAATACTATAAAAATAAATAACTTATTTACCAAGTTTTTATGGATTATGTTCTTGGAATGTAAATATTTTAATCCTCGTGTAATATCCAACGCCATTCGAATCTTATTTTCCCATTGTAATGAACCAAAATTTTCTTTTAAAAAATCTCTTAAATTTCCATTATTGGTGTATTCCAGTACCACGACATAAGCAATATCATCTACTCAACATAAGTTAGAACGAATTTTATAAATATAACTATTCAGAAATATTGACACAAACCTTTTGAAATTCCAAGAAAATTATTGATGTTATAGTGACAGCTAACTGTGCAAAAGTATTTTAACTAAAAAAGAAACATATCAATCTTTTTATTATACGCTATATGTACACTTTATAATACGACAAATTTAAATATAGTTATCACCTGCTTTGCCAAGTTTTCAATAGCCTTTTCTTCAAATTTTGAAATTTTAGTTCCCACGAGATATTTTAGTGCAACTTGTTTTTTATTAGTTTCCGCTTTATTCACAACACCGTGTCCTCCTTCAATTTTTTCAACTTTGTTAAACTCACTATATTCAAAGTAACGAACGTCTTCTTTTTTCATTTTCCTTTCGATCAATTCCTAGTTTTTAATGCAGCAATGCGTAATGAATAATTTTTAAAAAGGATAGAATCTAATTTTTTTTTTGAAATAAATAATATTACCTCATTAAACTGACTTAAAATTTCATTGTAAACTTGATCAACATCGGGTCTTTTCCCTGGATCAATATCCCAACATTTTTCATAAAGTTGTTGATACTCTAAAGGTGTACCATCAACTGGTTTTTCTCTAAGATTCTTATGACCAATGTCATCACGTAAACTACCTTCTTTTTGTGAGATGTTAGAAAAGGGGGGACGTCCGCTTGTAATTTCCCATAATAAAACACTTAAACTATAGATATCGGACTTTTTATCTCTTTTATAATTTATATCCTTAAGACATTGTGGGTCAATATATCCAATAATTTCAATTCTATTATCCGTTAGTTTATGTTTTTTTTCATCTTTTATTTTAGGTATTCCAAATTTAGGTATAGCTTCTGTGTCTGCAATTAATAATCTACCATTGTTTACTAATATATTTTTTGAGTGCTATAAAGATAATTATTATTGTTATTAGGATTATTATCGTTTAAAAAAATCTTATAAAAATAGATAACTTATTTACCAAGTTTCTATGAATTATATTCATAGAGTGTAAATGTTTTAATCCACATGTGATATCCAACGCCATTCGAATCTTATTTTCCCATTGTAATATATTAAGTTTTTCTTTCAAATAATCTCTTAAATTTCCATCATTTGCGTATTCAAACACCATGAAATAACTAATATTATCTGTTCATTAAAATTTAATTAAAATTAATAAAATTTATCATATAACTATTTAAAGATATTAGCAGAACTGCACAAACCGTTCGATATTCCGAAAAAACTATTGATGTACTCGTGACGGCTAACCGTGTAAAGGAGTTTCAACTAAAAACGAAATATGACTCCAATGTTATATAACATGCTATATGTCTATGATGATGGATTTAAAGATAATTCTCACCTGCTTTACAAGGTTTTCAATAAATTTTTCTTTAAATGCCGGACTTTTCTTTTGGATGAAACATTTTAGTGCAACCTGATTTTTATCATATGCTTCTGCTTTATTCACAACACCGTCACCAATTATTTTAATATTATTGAATTCACTATATTCAAAATAACGAATTTTTTCCTCTTTCATTCTCCTTTTGATAAATTCCTAATTTAAAGTGCGATAATGTATCATGAGTAATTTCTTAAAAAAAAAAATTTTAATAATATTATTACCTCATTAAATTGACTAAATATATCGTCATATACTTGATCAATATCCGGTCTTTTCTCTGGATCACCATCCCAACATTTTTGATAAAGTCGACTATACTCTAAAGGCGTATCTTCAATTGGATTTTCTCTAAGATCCGAATGATAAATGTGATAACCTAACCAATCTCGTTCTTCTGTGTTGTGAAAAGGAGGACGTCCACTTGTAATTTCCCATAATAAAACACCTAAACTATAGATATCAGACCTTTGATCCTTTTTATAAAAGGAGTGTGCATTACGTACACTCTTTAAACATTGTGGTTCAACATATTCAATAATTCCAATGCTATTAGCTTTTGAATTAGACGTAGCTTCTGTTATTTGTTTAGATAATCCAAAGTCGGCAATTAACAATTTACCATCACTCACTAATATATTCTTTGAATGCTATAAAGATAATTGTTAATATTATTAAGAATTATCATTTAAGCAAAATATTACAAAAATAAATTACTAATTTACCAAGTCTCTATGGATTATATTCTTAGAGTGTAAACATTTTAACCCACATGTGATATCCAACGCCATTTGAATCTTATTTTCCCATCGCAATGAATCAAATTTTCCTTTTAGATAATCTCTTAGATTTCCATTATTGGCGTATTCCAATACCATAATATAATTCTCAGCGTAATCTATTTATTAAACCATTAGATATATTTGAAAATTATTTAAATTATTTAAAAAACAGTACACACCTTTTGTTATCCCAAGAAAACTATTGATATTATCGTGATAACTAATAGTACGAAGGAGTTTTAACTAAAAAAAGGTAACATTAATATTTTCTATTGTACGCCCAGTGTATAATATAAATATAGTTCTTACCTCTTCTACAAAACTTTTAATAATATTTTCTTCAAATTTTGAATTTTTCTTTTCGATAAGGCCTTTTAATGCAACTAGTTTTTTATCACTAGTTTCCGCCTTATTCACAATACCGAATCCTCCTTTGCCAATCTCTTCAATTCCAATAAATTCGCTATATTCAAAATAAAGAATATCTGCATCCTCTATTTTCTTTTTGATCCATTCCTAATTTTAGATAAATATACATTGAGTAAAAAAAAAAATTTAAAACGGTTGAAAGGATTGATTGGTATTTACCTCTTCGATATCAGCTCTAATCCTTTCATTCTCATCATCATTATCACGTGCAGCAAAATAAATAATTAAATGAAATTGCAGAAGTCGAATGGCAGTTTCAAATTCGTCAATCAAATTAATAAATTTTTCATTAATATCTTTAGCCTGAACATATTTTTTAGAACCTTGAGAAATATCTGCAAGAAAATGGCGCATCTCACTAATAACAGCTACTAAATTATGAAAATTATTAAAATTTTTTTTCGAAAAAAATTCTAAATTTCGAATTTTTAAATTTCCTATAGCTGTGATAGCTATTCGTACTCTTTCTAACATTGTCTCGCATGTATTTTTATTATATTGCGCATTCTCATGTATTTCAACTATATCATTATATAATTTGTTCATTTCTTCTATAAGTGATAAAAAACTTGCAAATGGTACTTCTATTTTAGATGCGGATTCTGTTCCGGTACAAACTAGTGAATCGGTAGGTGAAATGATTAAAGAAAAATCCAGAAGTCGAACAGTAGAATTAAAATCATTATTTAAACCTCTAAAAATTTCAATATTTTTTTCAATTTGAATAAACTTCTGGTAACTTTCGAACCGAGAAATTTCTGTCAGTAATTTACATATTTTACCAATAATCGTAATTAAACTACATAAATTAATATAATTTTCTCTTGAAAGATATCTAAAATTTTCCTTACTATGAATTCTTAAATTATTCAAAGCCGTAACAGCTATTTCTACTTTTTTTAACATTAACAAACATGTTTTTTTATTATATTGAGCTGATTGATGTATTTCTGATATCTCGTCATATATTTTGGTCACTTCTCTTATAAGCGGCAAGAATTTCAAATTTTTATCACATGGTAAAAAATTTGAAAATGGGGTTTCTAAATTCAAATCCAGAAGTTGAACCGTAAAATCGAATTCATTACTTAAATCTTCAGGATTTTTTTTATAATGATTTGTAAGAAATTCACGCATTTTACCTATAATAGTAACTAATTTATGCAAGTTATTATAATTTTCTTCTGAAAAATATTCTAAATTTCCTTTTCTGTAAGTTTTCAGATTACTTAAAGACATGTCAGCTTTTCCTACTCTATTTAATATTAACTCACAAGACTCTTTATTATGTTTCGCTGTTTGACATATTTCTATCATTTCATCATATATATTGCTCAATTTTTCTATAAGCGATAAAAAAAATGGCAAAAATTTTGATTCTCCTTCTATTTCTATTGATACGATTTCTTCTTCATCAGATTGCCCACCATTAGCCGTATTTTCATCCATAATTATCAAAAAAAAAAAAAATAAAAAGAATAAAAAATTTTGTCACCTGCATATATGTAACACAATAATCAAGTAGCACAATTGTGGATCAACATCGGTATCCGGGTCATTGTTTTTTCCGGCGCATTTGATCTGCAGCATGGCGTTCGTTCATTTTCTTTGAAAAAAAAAAAAAAAAATATTTATTCTTCAAAATTCTAGTAAAAAATTTTTAGTACCCGTATATTGTTGTATATATCCAGCATATATTTTGAAAATTGTAGCTTTTAACGATTATACTATTAATAAAGTTTGATATCCATTGTTTTAACGCTTTACGACTTCAAAGACTTCAAGGCATAATGTCATCGACATCTCAAATTCATTGGGGACAATGTGATAAGTGTGGTGAACATTATGGAGATGATTTAAATGCGGAGTCTGAATGGTGTAAACCATGTCAAGCAAAATATTTAAAAGAAAATTTTGCAAATTGGACCAGTGGAAATGAAAATATTGATGGTTTAATTCAAGAAATGCGATCAAAAATTGATGGTCCGAGTGACATAGTGTTTGAATGGATACCATACAATCAGTTTGATAACATTAGAGAAGATGTGAAAGGTAATTCTTCTAAGGTATATTCAGCAATATGGAAGGACGGTCCATTAAGTTACAGTTATTTAAAAAGAAAATTAACAAGAGTGTCTGGTAAAAAAGTTGCTTTAAAATGTGTGTTTAATTTACAATATAACATCGATGAAATTATAAATGAGGTGAAAATTATATTATTTAATTTAATTTAATTTTTTTTAAAAAAAAAAATTTGACAATAAAATTCTTTATAATAGGTTAAAACATATTCAGTTGATTGTTCAAATAATATCCTTAAAATATATGGAATCTCTCAAAATCCAGATACTAAAGATTATATTATGGTTCTCCATAATGAATATTTTAAAAAATATTGTAAAATTTGTTGTAGCACAAAAATAGAACATAAATGGTGTAACTCATGTCATATTAATCTTATAAGAAAAAATTTTATAAATGGTAACAGTGGAAATAAAGAAGTCGATAATTACATTCAAGAAATGCAATTAAGTGTTAGTAATTCATGTACTATAGTATTTGAATGGATACCATATGATCGGTTTGATAATATTAATAAAATAGGCGAAGATAATATTTGTGTGGTATATTCAGCAATATGGAAGGATGGCCCATTACATTATGAATATACGACTGGATGGACGAGAGAACCAAATAAAAAAGTTGCTTTGAAATGTTTACAGAATGCAACTAATGAATTTTTTTTAAATGAGGTACGAAATTTTCTATTGATTTAATATTTTTTTTTTTTGTCTGATTTTTTTTTCATACTTTAATAGGTTAAAACATATTCGATCAATTATTATGATGATAATATTATATATGGAATATCCCAAAATCCTCGTACAAAAGTTTATGTTATGATTATTCAAGATAAATATCATGAAAAATGTGTAAAATGTGAAAAAACATATATAGATATGCGGTATGAATGGTATAACCCATGTCATCATATGCAGTATGAATGGTATAGCCATTTTAGAAATGAAAAAATTGATAGTTTCATTCAGGAAATGCGAACAAGCAATGGATCAAAGAATATTAATTTTAATTTGATACCATACAATCATTTTAGTAATGTTAAAGAAATAGGAAAAGGTGGGTTTTCTACAGTACATTCAGCAATATGGAAAGATGGTCCAATATATTACTTTGATGATAAAAAGGAATGGATAAGAAAATCCAATAAAGAAGTTGCTCTAAAAATTTTGTATAACTCTCAAAATACTACTAATGAAATTCTAAATGAGGTATGAAATGTCATGATAAATTTTAGAATTTACCTTTTTTGTTTATTTAACAATATTTTACATTTTTATGTTTCTATAGGTTAAAGCACATTTAATATTAAATTCTGAATTTATTATCAATATATATGGAATATCTCAAAATCCAGATACAAAGGATTATATTATGGTCCTTGATTATGCAAAAGGTGGAAGTTTAAATAATTATATAAATAAAAATCTGGAAAATTTTGATTGGTTTAATGGATTAAAAATATTAACTAATATTATTGAGGGTCTTGATAAAATTCATCAAAAACAGATGGTTCATCGTGATTTTCATACAGGAAATATATTATTTTCAACAGATAACGTACAGGATTTCAATGTGTATATTTCAGATATGGGATTATGTGGAGAAGTTTGTAATATAGATGAAACTAAAATTTATGGAGTTATGCCTTATGTAGCTCCTGAGGTATTAAAAGGTAAACTTTATACTCAGTCAGCAGATATATATAGCTTTGGCATGATTATGTATTTTGTAGCGACAGGAAAACAACCTTTTGGTAATCGTGCTCATGATAGTCATCTAGCATTAGATATATGTAATAGAATTAGACCTGAAGTTAATGATAAAATAACACCAAAATGTTATATTGACTTAATGAAGAAGTGTTGGGATCCAAATCCGGATAATAGACCAAATACTTTTGAAATAAAAGAATCAATTTATTTATTTTACCATTCATTAGATCAAAATTTTAAGGAAAAGGAACAACGACACTATGATATTGAAGAGCGATTTAAAGTAACAGAAGTATACAGAAAGGAAAATTTTTTATCTTTTAAAAAATAATCAATCAATTTGTACACAAGCTATTTATACATCTCGTCTACTTTCGGAATTTATTTCAAGAGAAATTGGAGGAATTGTCGATTCCTTGGAGTTTGTTTCATTCATTTATTTATTTGTTTGTTTGTTTTTAATTAAGAAGTTTTAATAATTTTTAAATTATTTTATAGATTGTATAAATTGAAAGGAATAATATGAAGCAATGAGAAGAATAAAAATAAATTTTAAGGTTAAAGTAAGCAATATATATCAAAGGAAAATCAGTTTTAGAGTTATTGCAAATATTAGGAATACCATTTAAACACTTATTATATAATACATATAAAGTTATTTTATTTTATTTAAATGTATAGGTGTACCATAGTAATTCAGTAAATTATTATTTTATTTAAAGTGATTTTTCTTGTATAACGTAATGACAGCTTATAATTTGGATTATTTAAAATTACGAGCGGGCCAAAGTACCGTACCGCACTGCACAAGATATCCTCTTTTGAGAATACCCCCACGGCAAAAGATCCGGGTATAATATTAGATATAAAATAAATTTCCTAGGTTTAGACCCGAGTATAATCTAATTTTTTTCATGGTTATTTTATATAAGACCCGGGTATAATATAACTTTCGGTAAAAGTAGCATTTTATTATTTTTAAACTTCTCCATGAACTTTGTTTATTATAGTATAATCTAATATGTATTTATTATTTTAAAATTTTTAAAATTTTTGTATCATACAGTATTTATTATAATAAAACTTTGAATACAACAAATTTATATATTTTGTAACAAAAAAAACTATTACAAATGCGATTTTGATGATTCTGATATATTAACACTATTAATTCCAGTCTTAAAGCACATTACGCTCTTCATTTCTTTCATAATAATCACAATCTGAGCATTCGCTATTACTACCATCCGAACTATATTCACTATTATCATCTGTTTCATAATCACTATCACTACTTCCTTCATAACTTTCATCTTCTTCTTCGATTCCTCTCCCTGTATTATTTACATTTTGTACTTTATTAAAATTGGATATCAAACCATCTTCCGACCCATCCATTGCATTTGAAACACCACAACATTTGAATGAACGCATAATCATATTGGGATCAATTGCATCCCAACTTGCTTTTACCCAATTCGCCACAAGTGAGTAAGATGGCCTCTTAATTTTTCCTGATGGAGTATAATCTTTAACGGTTTCATTCATCCAGTGATTGTAAAGATGTCGCATCTAATTTATTCAAAAATAATATCAATTTTATGTTTAAAATAATGAAAAAATTTTGATGAATAAAATTACCTTAGCTTTAAAAGGTTTATTCAATGATACATCAAGTGGTTGTAAGCGAGAAGTTAATCCACCTGGAATAACAGCCAAATCGGTATTTTTTCTACGAAATCGACGTTTGATAGCATCAGTTTTATGTGCAGAAAAAGAATCTAACACTAAAAGAGATCTTGGGTTTGTGCCTTGTCTTGCGCGTCTTGTCCAGATATTTTCTAACCACCAAGACATCTCTTCTTCATTCATCCAACCATTGGGATTAGCACGAACAATTACTCCATCAGGAAAATCTTCTCGCGGAACATTTACAAGTTTGAAAATAATTACTGGTGGTAATTTTTCACCATTGGCCATACAAGCTAAAACAACAGTAAAATTTGAGCGTTCATGCCCAGTAGATAAAATAGAAACGGATTTAGTACCACGATGTTCAACTGTTGTGTTACTTGTCAAATTAAACGCCATAGGCGTTTCATCCATATTTGCAATTAAAGATAATGGGTAGTTATGTTCTCTTCTACGAAAAAGAACATAAGATAAAAATTGATTTTGTTGCTTAACATAATCATCAAGCCGTTGAGCAATTGTTGTCTTTCTCCTGTTAACTAAATTATGACGGGACATAAACCCATCAACCCATTTTTGTGAAAATTTCGCCTCTTTTATATCTGGATATACCCTTAAATATACTGGTTTTTTGGCTAGGGAGCGCGCCTTTGCTTGAATCATGTAACATGAAACAGTTTTTAACTGTCTTCGTGAGTCTTTAAACCATTCCATTAACTCAACTTCAAGCTGTTGGTATTTTGGGCGTGCACCTCGGACAAGTTTTTGAACATAAGGAGCTACTTTCATAAGTTGATCTTTATTCCTTAACCATTCACAAAGTTGTTTTGGTTCAATTTCGAATTTATCTGCTTTGACCGCTTGCTATGACCTTGCTCATAATTTGCGATTATCATTAACTTTTCTCTTGCTGACCATTGACGTTTTTTTTCTGTGAAACTCTAGCACGACGAACTTGAAAATTTCCACGAACCATATTCTAAAAAATAAAAAAAATACCTTTTAAAATAATATAATCATTAAATACATAAAAAAGAAAAATTTATCAGTACCTTGAAAGTTTTTTAAAATGTGATATGAAACAATTGCAAAACGCGAAAAATAAACGGTCTCATTTTATTTCTCTCATGATTTCCCAAGCATGTTATGTAATATAAATTGGTGAATAAATCCTATAAAAGCTTTCTAATTTCACCAGTTGCCAGATTGGTAATCAATGAATGTGCTATTTGTTAATAAAGGACACTTTCCCAGTAATTTGCTTATCAAATATACCGTTTAATTGCAAATATGATGTAATATTACAATTTCCAATTTCCTAATGAATTAAAAGATGCACTCGATAATATACTATTATTAGAGATGATATTCAGGGGGCATTGCTTTTAATAATAATACAATAGTAAAGAAACAATTATCTTGGAATTTTTCGTAATAAATAAAATCAAAAAATATTACGGCATAACTTTAATAAAGACACATTACAAGAGTTGTTAAAGTTTTTAACACACTAAATACTGGATATACAGTCGACCCCCTTTATAGGCACCTCCTATATAAGAACTCCCCTTCTTAAGGCACACATTTTTTAGTCCGAATTTATATATATATAAAATACCCCTTTTATAATCACTTTATTAGTTATAAGTACAATCACACCAAACGTTGGACCCATATTATAGTAAATATATGTAAAATCCCCCCTGCATAAGCACACAAATCACGTGATTTATAAAATAACTGATAAGGTACGCGTTATGCAGTTTGCGCGTTTTATTCAATAAATTCTGTTATTTTTGTTATTTTATCATGCCACCTATTCGTTCACAAAAAATAAATCTAACACAACAAACTCGTACTGCAATTAGTATTAATACTAGGGAACGGGAACCGTTGGGAGTCCAGAGCGAAAAGCGACTTAATTAAACATGAGTAAATTTAACTAAACACAGATAAATTTGATTGAAGCAATCACGGGAGAAAGGTAGTTAACGAACGTAACACAATAGCTAGTCAAATTTATTATTTATGTAATACGTTAATAAATTAGCCACGAGGTTCATATTATAAGCCATGAATAACCATATTTCGTACAAATGTAATATGGTGATAAGCCATGAAATTTACAAAATCAAAAATTTATTTAACGGTTATAAGTATTCGAAAAAAAAGTCATAATAATTAAAATTTAACGTTTGTAATATTAATTCAATTCAAATCACTATCAAATAAAGCGAAAAATATAAGATCAAAATGTCTTCAATGTAAATGTTTTTTTATATGTAATAAATTACCTAATAACAATGTAAAGAATAACAATGTAAAGAATAACAATAAAGAATAACAATAAAGTGTGTACATCATTTAAACTAATTATTCTCGATTTAGCTATAACATTGATCATTTTCTCAATGCCGCACGGATGGATTGTTCTTGACAGTCATTTTCTCAATGGCGCATGGATGGATTGTTCTTGACAGATTGCAGAGCTTATAAAGTAAAATTCTACAAAAATATAAAGATCGGATTTTTTTTTTAAGAAATGGTAGTTTTGATTATAAAGATCAAATATTTTGAGAAATGTCTGACAATACATACGAAAATGTTAATCCCGAAATGATTCGAAAGCGAAAAGCTAAAGCACAGGAGACGCCGGAACAAAGGCAAGCTCGACTAAATCGAGAAAGTGAAAGAAAACGTCAAAAGTGAGCGAAAGAAAGTGAAAATAAACGTAATGAACGTCTAGAAAGCCTTCGCAAAAGAAGAAATAATAAAAAAGAAATGGAGAGGGACGATGAACGTGTTATTCGCTTAGCACATAAAAGTAATCGTAAACGCGTGTTGAGAGCTCGTAATAAGAATCAACTGCAAGATCAGCAAATAAACGAACCAAATGATAATGAACATATTCAAAGAGAGCCTGATAATAGAAACATGCATGTCAGGTCAACATCGTCTACTAATATTAGCGAGGACGATCACAAAGTATTGCAGAAATTTTGTAACAAAATGGATAACATACAGTATAATACTTGCCCCGAATGTAACGAACGGATTTCCTATATGACTCTCATCATGGGCGAGTGTCGTCATTACCACAACGACAAAAAGACACCAAAAAAATTTTCTGCGGATAATAACATGGACCCAGGCGAGGTTCCTGATGAACTTCAGGGACTTACCAACATCGAAGAGATGCTCATTGCGCAGGTTTTTATGGTGATGTCAGTATATCGATTACAAGGTGGACAAAACGGCTACAAAGACAATGTGATTAATTTCCGCAAGACGTTCGGGAGTTCACAAGGCGCCTTTCACAAAATCCTTCATCATTAGACATTCTAGTAGTGCGACGAGAATCAGCAAACGACACATCAGGATTTAGAGATTTCACCGTACGCCACGAAAAAATAGCAAAAGCGCTATATTGGTTAAAAGCAAATAACCCTTATTACGAAGATATAATCATTGACGATGAAATACTTAAATCATTACCTCAAAACGGTTCTATCATTAATCAGATACATCAGATAAGATCTGACCAAATAATTGATGAGATGGATGATATTTCAAACGAAAACAAAAATGAAAATGGACACGACAAGAGCGACGCAATAACTCGTTCGTTTGTGCCTGCCTTACCTTCAACGCAAAGAGAAAATGCCATTATTAA